TAGTTCCAGAGCTCAGGGGAATGTCATACGAGGAAAGGTTGAGGGAAATCGGACTGACGACACTGGAGGATAGAAGGGTCAGGGGAGACATGATAACGACATACAAGATACTGCGGGGAATAGACAAGGTGGACAGAGACAGGATATTCCAGAGAGGGGACACAGAAACAAGGGGTCACAATTGGAAGCTGAAGACTCAGACGAGTCACAGGGACGTTAGGAAGTGTTTCTTCAGTCAAAGAGTCGTCAGGAAGTGGAGGCAGGAACCATACATAGTCTTAAGAAGAGGTATGACAAAGCTCAGGAAGCAGAGAGGGAGAGGACCTAGTAGTGATCAGTGAAGAGGCGGGGCCAGGAGCTGAGTCTCGACCCCTGCAACCACAATTAGGTGAGTACATACGGTATAAATATCCCCAGAAAGTACTATTTACAAATATATTTCTCGACAGGGGTAGCAACTCAGCTTGGGTACGCCGCTCATTGCTTAGTCACTGAGCTCGGTGGTGTCATGTAACACACGTCCTTCATGCATATAATTAAGAGATTCATATTCTAACACACACCAGTTAGTGTATATCTAAACGATTTGTGTAGCAACGTTCTTCAGATCATCCTCTTTCTGTTGCTACGTTTTTGAGATCAATCTCTCTCTCTACTGCTAAGTTCTTCAGATCAATCTTCTCTGTCCTGTTAAGTTCTTCAGATCAATCTCTTGTCCTGTTAAGTTCTTCAGATCAATTTCTCTGTCCTGTTAAGTTCTTCAGATCAATCTCTCTGTCCTGTTAAGTTCTTCAGATCAGTCTCTCTGTCCTGTTAAGTTCTTCAGATCAATCTCTCTGTCCTGTTAAGTTCTTCAGATCAATCTCTCTGTCCTGTTAAGTTCTTCAGATCAATCTCTCTGTCCTGTTAAGTTCTTCAGATCAATCTCTCTGTCCTGTTAAGTTCTTCAGATCAATCTCTCTCTTTCCTACAGTAAAAAAAATATGGGCTCCTTCCTCTTTAGGTTAAGATATTTTTCGTTAAGCAAGGTTCCAATAGGGTTGGGTTAGTCTTGGTAAAGTTAAGTAAGGCAAAGATAAGTTAGGTGATTTTAAGGAAGGGTAGGCAGGGTTAGGTTAGGCAATTTTAGGAAAGGGCAGGTAGGGTTGTGAGGTTGATTTGCTTAGGTAAGGTTACCTTAATATTAGAAGAAAATACCATCACCTAATATGCCATATTTAAACAGATACTGATGGAGACATCTAGTAACTAACAGATATGAAAATCATTGCAGTATTTACAGTAATTCAAAATGCAAGGCAAGGTAGCAAGATCTAGGTGGACAACCAACAAAATTTGCAAAGACGTCAATACTATAGGGCACAACGCTATTGCAGTAATGCAACATTTCAGAGAAATTCCTGGTGGCGAGAAATAGACTACGCTTACAAGAAAACATGCAAATATGACGTTTTATAACTGAACCCTATGGAACGTAAGTGAGAAAAATGCGTCACAATTTACGCCTGGATAATTCTAAAGATTGGTCCCAAATCTGCACACAAAGTCGTTCTCAATGAGACTCGACAGACGGTGCAAAATAACCCCAGATAAGCAGGAGGCTGCGTGAGTACAACAAAAGGTAACACAATACACATTAAGGGACTGAATTTTCAGCATACTTCCTTCATACATAAGTGAGGATTACCAACTCATCGGTTCGATAAGTTCCTCACCCAGTTCCTGATCAGGCGGGCTGTGATGCATACACTGGACACTGAAGCAAGTACTGACTGCCTGGTTGATCAGGCTACTAGGAAGCCTGGTCTGGGACTGGGCTCCTCGGACGTTGATCCCCAAAGCCTTCATTAGGTAAACTTCGGGGTCTATCAACTTACGCCATCGTTTATCCAAACAACTGATATCGTGTGTTGCAAAAGTTCTGGCACAGAGGAACACAGTATGCATGTTGCACAGTTGGAAGCATAATTCTGAAAAACATTAACATGATCAGCAACTGGTGCATTTTTTTGTGACAAAATGATCTTCATACAACTGAAGGAGGAGGAGAATGAGGTGGGAGGATGTTTATATTACCTTTCCCACCCTACCTGGAGTCTACCTGGAGGGTATTCCAGGGATCAACGCCCCCGCGGCCCGGTCCATGACCAGGCCTCCCGGTGGATCAGGGCTTGGTCAACGAGGCTGTTACTGCTGGCCGCACGTTGCCCAACGTACGAACCACAGCCCGGTTGATCCAGCACCGACTTTAGGTATCTGTCCAGCTCCCTCTTGAAGACGACCATTAAGTAAAACCTGCGTAGATTGAGCCAGTAGGCCTATAGCAATGTTTATTTGTTTCTCATATATTGTTTACGTTTCAGGTTGATGATTGCGTCAACGGTGGTGTGCAGCACTTATCAGGCAGCTGTGGAATTGGTGCGGCTGTGTGTCGTGCTGGGGAAGTACATTGGTCACCTCCTCCACCCTGGCCTGGGTCTCTGACACAGAAAAACTACCTGAGCACGCTGTCCCCATCAGCCATCACCCTAATACCAAAAAAAATGGGATCTTAACGTCTTACCTAAGAGTCAGAACTATAAACCTCCAGAGGAGTGTTCTGAAGTGTGAACTACAAATTAGGAGTTATTACACATAACTCAGAATTATGAATTATGCCCTTATATTTATAGTACAGTAGCATGGTATTGTGCAACACTCTATGTTGATGATACTAATATTGTTATTTATGAGTGCCAAGGCAACATGTTGGCACTCACTGAAACGATTTACTGCTAGGTCAGCGATTTCGACGTCGGAGTGCGACTAGTAGGCCTCAGGGGGCCAGTTCACCAAAGATTAGTAAGTTTATTCAGGTATACACAGATGCAGTTACGTAGATTATTATATATAGCAGCATATGTGTTGAAAACCTAGGATAAGATAAGATTTCGTTCGGATTTTTAACCCCACAGGGTTAGCCACCCAGGATAACCCAAGAAAGGCAGTGCGTCATCGAGGACTCTCTTATTTCCATTGGGGTCCTCAATCTCGTCCCCCAGGATGCGATCCACACCAGTCGACTAACACCCGGGTACCTACTTGCTGCTAGGTGAACAGGACAAGTGTAAGGAAACGCGTCGAAATGTTTCTACCCCGCCGGGAATCGAACCCGGGCCCTCCGTGTGTGAAGCAAGAGCCAGCCAGGCCACGGGATCACCCATCCCAAAAAAGTCAAAGTAACTTATTTCCATTAGGGTCCTTTACTTATTTCCAGATGTTTGAAGCATTATTCCCTGTGTCTGCTGTAGTCACTTGTGTGGGAAGTGTCCTCAGAAAGTGCACAGTTGTAGCTCGTGGGAGTTTATTTACCGTGGTGGAACATCTGTGGGATCGTATCAGTGTTCTGAGATTTGAAACTACGTAGACAACATCAGTGGTAGCGGGATACTTATAGAACCTCAGCGAATCAAGAACAACAACAACAACAGTATAAGTGATCCAACAAATAGATGCCCTTCACGGGTACAGTGTAGTGTTGTATAAGCTGACACAAGAGCGCCCACAGGATGGGTATGGGGTGCAAAATAAAGATGTTAAATTAATTAAACTAGCCGACACATAACTCTTATATTTCTGAGGAAGTACTAAATCCGTTGGGGTCGTAGATGACCCACGGTACAGTGTAGCGTTGTATAAGCCGACACAAAACTGCACACAACTCTTATACATACAGGGTCATACAGCGCCTGAGGGAATGGGAAGCAGTAATGAAGCGGAATATAGACAGGTCCACTTCCTTACATCAAGAGCACCACACCTGCATCAAAGACCTTCTATTATGAGTCCAGTAGTGAACACGAGGTCTAAGTGAATATAACTTGACGGACAATGGACGTGGTGTGCGTGAAAACACCCATACCGGCTTCTGTATATATATATATATATATAATATAATATATATATATTATATATATATATATATATATATATATATATATATATATATATATAAGTACGTACAGCTTGAGCGATACGAAAAGTAGATCGTGTTCAGAGTGACTGAACGAGCACAGACATAAACCATTATGGGTTTATATCTGTAATCAGATGTAAATATGTAAATAATCTTGTTGCGTTGTGGCCACAATAAAATATATCATTAGTTGCAAATGCGTCCTTTCACCTAACATATTGTCGGTAATTCTACCAACATTATTGCCATGTAAATAATGCATTACCATTGTAACTTACTTACCCATCAAATTTTGAGGGTCCGGTCACCGGACCCATCGTGTGCCTCTGTAATATTTTGACTACCGCCCAGGATGATGGGCTGTATGATAAACCTATTAAACTTAACATATTGTTTGGCACTTGGTACAAATTTCATATGATACTGAAAAGAGATCATCATTATTATACTCACATAGAAGCGTTAAACCTGTAGGGAACACAAAGAGCCTGTGGAATGGGAGATAATCAGGTTTAATCCCAGGAAACTCACTTGGCTTATTTTATTCATGTGGGAAGCGCTAAATTCGTAAAGGGGTCATACACTACCCTGGAAACTGGAGGCAAGCAGATTTGATCCAAGGAACGGAAGGGTAGCTTCCATTCCTTGGATCAAGAGCCTCATCGGCATCAAGACACCTCCCTAGAAGGGGGAACCTCCTTTGATGTACATTTGTGGTTAAGCGATTATTATTATAATCAAAAAGAAGCGCTAAGCCACAAGGACTATACAGCATGTGTGGTTAAGCGAGACCGCTAGATTTAAACACTGCTGGCAGAGTTCCATTAACTACTTTCACAGGTACTTCTCATAATCAAGTCTTTTCAGTTTACTACATAGGCGAGATCGATGTTAATACCCTCACTATGTTTTATCTGTTCATTCCGTCCTGCTGTAGAGCTGGAATTGAGTCAGTGATCTTCAGTAGTCAAGATTAACAAAAATATAAGGAAATAAAGAGGAAATACCGCTAGTTCTTGGCAAGACACATATAGTATTGAACCACAGCCAGTGTGGGTTGAGAGCTGTGAGTAACCTGCCAGGTCTTCCCTTGTGTACACACAAGATGATCGTTTGGCCTAATTAATAATTTAAACTTGAGAAGAGGAGAGCCAGTTTTGCATATTAATATTACATCAATCTATCCAGAGGTCTCTGGCATCCTTGAGATAATTAATTCTAGTAATAAATAACTTGAACCGCCTGGAGAAAAAGTGACTTAATTGCAGACAGATGAGCTGCTAACGTTTTGAAGATACATAGAAGCTGTTATCTTAACTCTGTTTCATTGTATAGTTATGTTGTATCGTTGTGGGATGAGAGTGTTAATGGGAGGGAGCAGGATGGGGAAGCTCCTTCCCTATAACAACTCCCGGCTCTCCCCCACACCATTACTTCTAGTCTCCCCCTGCAACTTCTCCCTGGTCGTCCTTGGTGGTGAACTACCCGCACCACGCTGTTACTACGCCAGCTGCAGTTACTGTGCAGCTCCTGTACTCAACGTTCCTCGCTGCTCCACTCTCCAGTCTTCTCTCCCAACTCGTTCAATCTCCACCATGGCGACAAACTTCACAGAGGAGAAGGCAAAGTACACTCCACCTGACAACTTAAAGACAAAAGTGAGATTATTTTCTGTACTTTGGTATAATGTCGGTACCATGTAGCATCCTGTCACTAGCTACTGAGGGTACACCGCTTCACGCCTCCACTATTCATTAATTTTCTCTTAATAAAACAGAAACAAACACATTTATCTTCCTGACACAGTAGTTCTCAGTATACACTACTTACATTAATAATTAAATTAGAAAAATGTACATAGTGAGATATTTAGTACAGTGAATTACAGGATATAGCAGGGGAATAAGTTTGCTTTCATAAAAATTAGCTCTACTTTCCTTTGTTTTTGTTAATGGGTTTGGATTTGAGAAAGATTAGCCCGGTATGGGCCAGTAGGCCTGCTGCAGTGCTCCTTCCTTCTTATGTTCTTAAATCTTAACACATGGCTCCCCACGTATGTTGACGTTAATTATTTTTTGTTTTCTTGAGAATTTAAGAATTAATTTAAGTAAATAAGCCTTATAGTTGCTTTTTTAAAAGTATAGTTTATAGATGAGGCCACTAAGAATGTCTATGTATATACTTCTGCATTCCTTTGTGTTGCTGGGAGTTTTGAAGGTCATGCACTAGTGTATATACCCGTCTGCAGGGCGGGACCAAGTGGGGGGGTGGGGAAATGAGGGCTTCAACGCCCAAAATTCCCTTAGCCCCAAAATAAAAATAGTAATAAGAATTGCCTTGCTTCGAATAGTGTAGCATCTACTTTCAAACAGAGCCACCTCTAAGCAAGCCCCCTCCCCCCTCCTCCTCAGCATAAAAATTCTGGCGCCACTCCCACCCCCTGTCATTCTTGTTGGGGTTGTTAAGGGCCTCCACAACGCAAGCCGTAATGAACTCTTCCTGCCGAGGCTCACGGACGTTGAATCTCGAAAACTTTTTTTTCCCCGCTATCGACGCATGAAAATGTATTATATCAATATTTTACCCAACACGTGAATACTGTCAGTAAGTCTGGAGCTCTAATTGGTGGTGGTTTACCAAGAGCTATAGCATGAATGAAAATGCACACAATTGTATGGCATCTCAATCCAGGATGTGACCCACAATTCTGTGTTGAACTATGGTCTGATAGTCATTCTGACTGGTGGGTCTATTAGGCAAGCACAGTTCTTCAGGTGACCATGTAAAATATCATAGATAAGGGCAGCCGCATTATGTACCACACTTGCTAGTAAATAAATCATCCATTGCCAGTTTTTAAAGCCAGATAAGACACTGAGTTAGGATGCCCCTGTGGGAATCTCTCATAGACCAAGGTAGCCACATTTTTCGAAATAGTGTACAAGATGCCCGAAGAGCATTTATCCCCAACAGAGAAATTAGATTAAATAAAAATGATCCCGCATAGATTAATTGAAGTCCAAAACATCTTAGGTAAGAAGAGAGGAATTGTCGACACATTAAGAAGTAAAAAGGTCACCTTGCAAACCATTATTAAAAGAAAGGCCAAAAAAAGGGATGCAAAAAGCTAGACTGAAATTAAAGTTGCAAGGGAACCCAAAACAAATCCGAAATGTTTCTAGTATATAGGTCAAATATTAGGGCTCGCTGAGAACACTATGAACAGCTTACTGATAACAAGAAATGAATGTGATCTTTACACAAGACGTGAATGAAATCACAGTAACTGGTCATTTTAGAGATCACAAGAAAAACTAAATACGGAAATTCAGAAAGGATACAGGAAATATAAAAGTTTCGCTCGGGGGGGTGGGGGGGGGTAGCAAACATTTCAAAAAATCTAAATAAGCTACCTATGACACGTCTCTTGGTTTATATTTATAACACCTGAAGCTTTTAGTAATCGTTTATTTTGGAAGAATAAAGTCACAGTATCGTGGCTGGAACAGTACACAAATACTTCATCTTTGCCTCATCATTTCTGCTGCAGTTAAGTTTATTCAGGTACAGGTACATATGGTATAAACCTTGGTAATAAATACCGACAAGTTGGTTTAGAAAGACACGTAAGCAAACACTATGACATATTTATTAGAAAACGTTTCGGTCCTAGGACCTTGATCAAGGTCCCAGGACCGAAACGTTTTCTAATAAATATGTCATAGTGTTTGCTTACGTGTCTTTCTAAACCACAGGTACATATAAATAGCTACTTAAATTATCATACATAGCAGTATATGTGTAATTACATATGATAACCCAAAGTCAAAGTAACTTATTTCTATTGAGAGTATACCTGGAGAGGGTTTCGGGGGTCAACGCCCCCGCGGCCCAGTCTGAGACCAGACCTCGTGGTGGATCAAGGTCTGATCAACCAGGCTGTTACTGCTGGTCGCACGCAAACTGATGTACGAGCCACAGCCCGGCTGGTCAGGTACTGACTTAGGTGCCTATCCAGTGCCTTCTTGAAGACAGCCAGGGGTCTATTGGTAATCCCCCTTATGTATGCTGGAAGACAGCTGAACAGTCTTGGGCCCTTGACACTTACTGTGTTGTCCAGAATGTGCAGAGATTTAATAGCTTGTGTGTACTCTCCTATTTGTACTCGCCTATTTGTAGTTGCAGGGGTCGAGAGTCGGCTCCTGGCCCCGCCTCTTCATTGATCGCTACTAGGTACTCTCTCTCCCTGCTCCATGAGCTTTATCATACCTCGTCTTAAAGCTATGTACGGTTCCTGCCACCACTACATCACTTGCTAGACTATTCCACTTTCTGACAAATCTATGACTAAAGAAATAATTCCTAACATCCCTTTGACTCGTCTGAGTCTTCAACTTCCAATTGTGACCCCTTGTTTCTGTGTCCCATCTCTGGAACATTGTGTGTGTGTGTGTGTGTGTGTGTGTGTGTGTGTGTGTGTGTGTGTGTGTGAATTTTCATCTGGGCTGCCTCCTGGATGCTCTGCTAAAATATTATTTACTACACTCCTCCATTTTAGATGTTTCAAGTTGAAATCTCCCAGTAGCAAGATGTCTGGGGCAGGAGTTGGGAAATTTTCAAGACAGTGGTCAGTTTTCAAAAGCTGTTCCTGGAATTGGTGGGAAGTTGCATCCGGAGGCTTGTATACAACTACAATGACAAGGTTTTGGTTTTCAATCTTTACTGCCAAAATTTCAACTACATCATTTGAAGTGTTGAGTAGTTCTGAGCAAATGAGCGACTCTGTGACGTACAGGCCAACTCCTCTTTGTTGCCTGTTTAGTCTGTCGCATCTTAATAGGTTATAATCTGGGATCCATATTTCGTTGTCAAAATGAAGGGTCTTTGTGAAAGCTGCATATATTTGACTCCGTAAGCATTCTCTTGATGTAAGGAATTTTGTTGTTTGTTGACGGCTTTAGACCCTGTATGTTTGCAAAGACAAATGTCGTTATATTGATGGAATTAGGGGGGGGGGAGTTATTTGCTGGCTGTAATATCTGTTGTGCCTCTGCTGCAGAAGTGTTTTCAGTTGGTGTACGATTTCTGTCATTTCTTGCCAGTCTTTTTTTTTTCCTTCCTGCCACTAAAAAGCTTTTCAGAAGAGGTTATGGCTCTCCTTTTGTTTCCCATAGTCTGGCTGGTTTGTGTCTTCTTGTCCCCTTTAGATGTGCCTGGCAGTATACGTTGTAGCATTTTCTTTCATCGAGTGGCGAGTGACATTTCTGGGAAAAATAAGTTAGAGGAAGGGGAGTTGCGCCCTCCTGTTGTCATGTGTGTGCAGCATTTTTTGGGATGGTCAAAGGTGCATGTCCCACCTGTTTTACCAGATATACCATGTATGCAGATACCCAAGGCATAGAATTTGCATAGATTGGAATTTTGTTTGCTAGGATTTGTTGTGGCTGCGTTCGCTGCTGGTGCATTTTGTCTGTTTCCCTTCTACCTACTGCCCCAACATGGACATCAGTGCTTCCACCAGCTTTTAATGGTAATGTGTCAACACTATTCCCTTAGGCATTATTCCCTTTTGTTCCATCTCCAGCAGTAACGCTGTTTTGTACCTCTGTAAAATGAATAACATTGTCTTTATCTGTTTGTCACCAGGGCCACTATTTCTAGTTGGTACGTTGTCCTCCAAGAGAACACTAGCATCCTCTGGAGCACTGTCTTCCAAGACAGCCCCGTCCAACCCACCCATTTTATTTTCCCAGCCGTCATACCAGGTTGACATGTCTTGCAATAACTGACACGTCCTTGCAATAACATTTATGCTATAAAAGGAGATGTACTAGGAATAAGGTAAACTTAGTTTTTTAACATTAAAAAGAGAAACAAATCGCAGTAATAAGTACATGTATGTTAAATATACCAGAAATCACTCTTCCCCCGTTTCTGTACCTACATTCATTAAGTACCTTCCGGTTTTCTTAAACTGACTCATACTATGACAGGCTTTGGCACATGCAGGCAGTCTATTCCACTTTATTGCTGTACAATAAAAGGTGTTTGAAGCCTGGTACTATGATTGCTTTGGTTCCCAGCCTTGACAAACTTGGCAACAAGATATTCTGGATACTGTGAACAGTTTTACAAACGTGACTGAACTTCAGTTGTTTTACCGTTTTCAACATTCAGCATATCCGGTTGTTGTAAGTCATCCTGGCCTACATGCTCTCTCCCAGGTCCAGGACGAATTTCACCATTTTGTTCTGGGCACCTAAAGTCAGTACCTGATTAGCCGGGCTGTGGTTCGTACGTCGGTTTACGTGTGGCCAGCAGTAACAGCCTGATTGATCAGGCCCTGATCCACCATGAGGCCTGGTCACAGACCGGGCCCCGGGGGCGTTGACCCCCGAAACTCTCTTCAGGTATACTCCACGTATCAGTTTTGTGTGTTAAGGCAGAGTACCATGAAGAACAAGCGTGATCTATATGGTAGTGTATAAGAGCGAGACAATCCTGCCAGCCTCAGTAGGTAGACACTGTGCTTCTCTGTAGCTGTACTACTAGGTCGGCTGCCGTGCTCCTCCCTTAAGTGAATGTGGCTGACCTAACTAGATCAAGGCATTGCCTTAAGCCGGTGGGAAAACTGGACCTGCCTCGCATGGGCCAGTAGGCCTACTACAGTGTTCCTTCTTATGTTCTTATACTTAACTGTCGCATGAGCGCTGGGTCGTGTACCCGGGCCGGGTCGTGTACCCGGGCCGGGTCGTGTACCCGGGCCGGGTCGTGTACCCGGGCCGGGGGCGTGTACCCGGGCCGGGGGCGTGTACCCGGGCCGGGGGCGTGTACCCGGGCCGGGGGCGTGTACCCGGGCCGGGGGCGTGTACCGGTGAATCATTTAAGTTTCAACTGTTGCATTTGTCTAACTCATCAACTTGTCAGTATTTTATATCATTCAAAAATACACAAACAACCCGTCGTCAAACTCATTACGTTTCGGTCCAACTTATGACCATTAACTAGTCAGAGAAGCGCTTCTCTGGTAATGATCTATGTCGAACTGGAACGTCGTCATAAATTTCAGTAGCGTAATTGCGGGCGGGTTATTTGTGTAGTGTATATTGGTAAAATTGAAAGTTGGAATAGTTGATGGGAAGGGCCAGTAGGCCTGCTGCAGTGTTCCTCCTTTGTCATGTTCCTATACCAACATATTCCATAATATAAATCTTTGAGAGAGAAGTGACCTGCCTTCTACCGCACACTTCAATAGAAAATTATGTTGGTGTCGATAAAATAAAGGACTATGTAAAGTAAAAGGACACAAGTGCAACTAATGTGACATTTATTGTGGCAACGTTTCGCTCTCCAGGAGCTTTATCAAGCCATTGTAATGGCTTGATAAAGCTCCTGGAGAGCGAAACGTTGCCACAATAAATGTCACATTAGTTGCACTTGTGTCCTTTTACTTTACATACTGTCGGTAATTCTACCAACTTTATTACAAAATAAAGGACTACGTAAGAAAGTTGAGTGTTTTGGAGAGAAGTTATAAGGGTTTAATAGGTGTGGAAGTGAAATAGGTGTCTAGTGGATGTGGGAGTGAATTATAGAGGTGTGATAGGCATGGGAGTGATATAGGGATGGAGGAATAAATTGTAGGTGCTGCTTGGGAGGAATGTGGGCGGGGCCTCCACTGGGATTATACCATGATGGGAAGGGGGTCATAAAAGATTTTCAGGCTGGATCAACGGGCACAGGCAAGCCATCGTTCTGGTTCTGTTTGCTTTAACACATGCGTGTGATCCACGCCTCAGGATAAGCTTAGGGGTAACAATCTGGTTTGAAGATAGGCCTAGGAAATAGGCCTTAAGCAGCGTTATCGCCACCCCTATGATAAGAGCAACTATGATAAGAGCACGCCACTGTGTGGGAGGGGCATGGGAGTGGGAAGCGCATGGGAGTGGGAAGCGCATGGGAGTGGGAAGCGCATGGGAGTGGGAAGCGCATGGGAGTGGGAAGCGCATGGGAGCAAGTCGAAAAAAAGTTAAATTATTGTTTAATAATGTATTAGTTTTAGGGATGTCGGAGGGGATTTCTTAACACTGGCAAGACATGGTACCTATGGCCATGGTACCTATGACCCGCATCAGGAAACTTTGTCCTGTCTCCTGACGAATATTGTAAGTTTATTCAGGTATAGCTACACACAAGTAGTTAAATAAATTATCGTACATAGCAGCACATGTGTAGATTACCGAGGATAATCCAAAATAATCAGTGACTTGTTTCCATTAAAACGGGTTATCGAAAGATTGAGACCCGTGTTAGGACTGTTCTGACAAATATTAAAATTTAACATATATGACCAGTAATACAATATAAGCAATTAGTTTTAATTTTTAAAGGGGTGGATTGGTAAGCCAGCGGAAAGCCTCCGTCAGATGACTAAAAGCTCCAGTGGTGAGTCATCATGACTAAGACCCCCCGTCAGGAAACACTTGTCCTGTTTCCTGACGAATACAACAACAATACTAGGTTTATAATGGTATACAATACGTACAAGTGATAAAACATATACGCAACAGTTAGGTATGTTTATTCCGAAACATTTCACATACACAGTAAGTTTCTTCAGTCAAATACAGAGGCAGCAGAAGCAGTGGAGATGTAAGACGATATTATTATAATCAAGGGGGAGCGCTGAACCCGTAGGAATATGCAGCGCCTGTGGGAGAGATGGGGAAGGTATTTAGGCTTAATTCAGGGAACTGGCGCACAGTTCCAGTTCCCTAGATCAAGAGCCCCTCACCAACGTCAAGGAACCTTCCTTGAGGGGTAAAGACGATGTAATCAGTCACCTCCTTAGACTTAGTTGTGAGGTGGTCAGTCCCTCGGCCTGCAGGAGAGCTCTGCTTCTCTGTATTCGACTGAACTAACCTACTGTGTAGGCGAAAAGTTTCAAAATAAATATCGTTTATAAAAATTTCCATAACTAGGCTCTAATTGTTTTCCTTGGAAAAGCGCAGCAAGAATTCTTCAGGTGATCCATAATAATACTTAAAACTTTTTTTTAAGTATTTGTTTATAAATTTACCTGAGTATATTTTTGTATTTTTATCATAAAATGTGGGGAGACTGATGAGAAAGTAGCTGCACTGGGATAGGAATAATTATCTCTTGGGTTGAGTCATGTCTGACCGACGGGCACAAGTGTTCATAAATGAGTACTTGAAGTGGTGTGCCGCAGGAGTCCATACTGGGACCCTTACTCAGTCTACATTTGTTAACATAGATTGGGGAGTAGTGACATAAATTTACCGATAAAAAGAATTAGAGAGCTGCAGTATCAGGATCTCTCTATTTGTAGACGTTTCGCCATTCAGTGGAGAAAGATACCCAGATGTTGTACTTGTCTAATTTTTCATTTTGTCGGTATTATATACCATTCATATACACGTTTACAATGTACTAAAATAGGCCGTCAGATACTTTCTCGTGAGGACACTCAGCTACAGGTGATGCAGGTGAAGTGCCAGATGCAGTTCAATGCTGATAAATGTAAGATCCAACTCTTGGAAAAGAAAGGAACCATGGTACTTAAAAGGTAAATAAAGTAGCTATTATTGAAGCTAAATTAAAAAAAAAAATTGGTTAAGAAATTTAAAGCTAAACAACACAAGTGTTCGCAATACAGCTGATAGAATTCTTGACTTCATATCAAGAAGTATAAATAACACAAGTCTTACGGTAATATCTCAAGTTTACATATCTTTGGTAAGGGCTCGTTTAGATTATCCTGCTCAGTTCTGATCTCCTTATTACAGAACGGAGATGTAGGTGCTCTATCAAATACACAGAGAAGGATAACAAAGTTGATCCCACGTCTCGGAACTCTTCCGCGAATATAGACTGAAGGAACTGACTGCACTCTGGAAAAATGTAGAATTAAGAGGGATATGATTAAATTTTATAAAATGGAAAACAAGAATAAATAAGTTAGGTAAAAGGACACAAGTGCAACTAACGTGACTGCTTGACAAAGCTCTCCAGGAGCTTCAAGTAGTATTTCTGCTCTTCCCACCGGTGGCCTGGCGGCTAAAGCCCCCTCAAGGAAGGTTCCTTGATCTTGGTGAGGGCCCTTGATTCGGGGGAATTGATCGTGCTCCAGTTTCCCGATTAGCCTGAATGCCTCCACATTCCCCCCAGGCGCTGCTATCTCGGGTTTAGCGTTCCCTGATTAATATGGGGTAAAGCTCTGCTTCACCACGAAGGGGCCCAGGTTCGATTCCCGGCGGGTGGAAACATTTCGTCCAGTTTCCTTACGCCTGTTGTTCTGTTCACCTTGCGGCAAATAGGTACCTGGGTGTTAGTCGACTGATGTGGGTCGCATCCTGGGGCACAAGATTAAGGACCCCAATGGAAATAAGTTAGACAGCCTTCGATGAAGCACTGATTTTTTTAGGATATCCTGGGTGGTTAACCCTCCTGGGTTAAAAATCTTAAGAAAATATCTTACATGAATCTGGATCCTTCAGTTGTAGGCCGAAGGTTCTACCAATAAATAACAAAAAGGCACAATACCGTGACTGGAACGATACACAAATAACCCGCACATAAAAGAGAAACTTACGACGACGTTTCGGTCCGACTTGGACCATTGACAAAGTCACACTGACTTTGTCAATGGTCCAAGTCGGACCGAAACGTCGTCGTAAGCTTCTCTTTTATGTGCGGGTTATTTGTGTAAGGTTCTACCACCTGATCCACGACCCCCTGTCCTGTTATTTCTGTGAACTTACTATTATTAACATTAGTAAATAAAATATTTAATTTTTATTGTGTACCTCTTTCCTATGCAATTTTTTGTACAATACGCATTTTTTGTGCATTTTTTATCAGTATACAGTCGATGAAATCCACCGCTACATGGTAGACTGCATGATGGCTGTAGGGACGCCCAGGCAACACGCTGCTGCCTTGGCTGACGTTCTCGTTGCTGCTGACAACCGTGGTCACTATAGTCATGGTCTTAACAGGCTAGGCAAGTAAAAATATTTTAGTATTTATGGATATGTTTGAAGTAAATTTATGGACACTTGACTCGCGAAATAAAACAAACCACGAAAACTGATGGATTTGAACTCATGGCTAGCGAGTCCTAGACTCCAGGGCAATTGAATGTTGTCCACTTACATTTTTTTTTTGTGTGTATAGTGTTTTTGTTTTGCCTTGTGTTTATCCCAGTGGTACTAGGATAAACTAGAATCCTGTGACTTGTTCAAGGTCCCTCCATTTTTCCTGATAAGTTTTTCAGATTAATTTTAAATTGTTAGTTTTGGCTTCAGTAGCGTTGAGGAAGTAGACTATATCATAAGTAGATGAAGGTCTATGATATATGTAAAAAGAAAGACAGTTTTATTTAATAGGCATATTCAAATTCTAATATTGTATACAGCAGTCACTATATATAAAAATTCCTTGTACCACATAGTTCTGTGGTATTCTTCGCTGTTCCATGTACGCATGTCAACACACCGTGACCATAGCCTTGAATACAATACTGTCATTACATTCTATCCATGTCCAACATTTTACAATAATGCTAGCCTTCCAGTGACTGGTCACATACCCTTACAACACTTCAGACAATGCCTCACAAGACACTGTACTACGTTACCACTACTGCGGTATTCTACACGTCTCGCACAGTGTATGTATTGTATCCGCACACACATTACCCAGTGTTCCCAGTAGCATCTCATTCAGTTCCTCACAATGTCTACTCTCACAGCAGTCGCCCCCAGAATCACAGATAATACAAAGGATAAAACAAAACTGCATCATTGTGTACAAGTGCAGGGAAATGACCTTCCACATGACTACACTGTACGTTTTTGGATGTTACTCCAGATGCCAGACCACGTTATACACGCCCCATATCCTTCCTGGGGCACTCGGGGATAAAACATAAATTTCAACATAGAGCAATATAAAAGAATATGTAGTACAGTAATGAAAATACATTAAAAAATAATGATTCGTAAAATGATTAATATAAAAGAATATTGTAATAAAAAGTGCCCTTCAGGACGAGGAGTGGCAGTTTGAGCCTTCATCCACTAAAGGCCAGACACGTTACCTACTCGGCTCAAATTTGTGATTACAAATCAATAACGTGTCTTGTGCTGAAAGATTTGCACAATTTTTGCTCTCCACATTAAGTACGATAAAAAAAAAGTAAAATTAAGGACCTCTAAATCTCGGCTCAAACTACAGTACAAGATTTTTTTTTTGTCTGTCTTTTTTTTTTCTCCAGTTGTGATGGCGGGTGTAAACAGCCGTGGGAGCTGCGTCCACATTTTAGAAGAGTTTTCTCATGTACACACTTAGTTGGCATCCTGTCAGATAGGTCTGTGGGTACTAATGACCTAGTCGTAGCACCTTAAGCAGCAAAGAAGAGAACGTACCATACTGTTTAAAATGTATTTTACCTCTCGGTGCTACCCGACGAATGTGAGTCTACTACTGGGATCGTCACGACGAACGACAACAAGGAAGGTAAGAATATTGTTGTTGTTGGGGATAGCCAGGTTAGATACATGGATAGGGCATTCTGCTTGAAGGACAGGAGTAGGAGACAAAGGGTATGCTTTCCTGGGGCTGGGATGGAGGACATTGTTAGCCGGCTTGACAACATCATGAACGGTAATGGGATCAATCCTATTATTTGCCTCAGTGCTGGAGGCAATGATGTAGGCAAGCGTAGAAGTGAGGATTTAGTTAGAAAGTTCAGGACAGCTATAGACATGATTAGGAAGAAGGGGGGACGCCCTGTTATATGTGGCATTTTGCCAAGAAGAGGTGTTGGTAATGAATGGTTGTCCAGAGCAATTGGTATTAATTGTTGGCTGGATAAACACTGTAAGGATAATGCAGTACCATTCATTGACAACTGGGACAACTCTATGGCCGAAATGACATGTATGCCAGGGATGGGGTTCACTTATCCAGGGCAGGTGTGGGTTTTCTTGCTAACTCAGTTGAGGGGGTTGTTAGGACTTTAAACTAGGATTAGTTAGAGGTATGGGTTTAGAAATGATTAATAATGAGTATGGATATATTGACTTATGCTCTGATATTAAGAATCTTAATAGTAACTGTCATGGAGTAACTCTGGTATTGATAATATCAGAAATTGTGTAAAACAAAGATGAATAGGAAAAATGTGCAGAAGGAAAAACATATGATGGTATTTTATGCTAACAGTCGAAGTGCAAGAAATAAAATTAATGAACTACGTTTGGTAGCATGTGCTGGGAACTTTGATATCATTGCATTAACTGAAACGTGGTATGATTTAAAGAGTCGGGATATGACTGCTGAGTGTAATATTCAGGGATTTAAGTTATTCAATGTGGATAGATGTAATGGGAAAGGGGGAGGAGTTGCATTGTATGTTCGAGAAAATATTAATTGTTGCATAAAAAAAGGTATAAAAATAGATGGAGCAGTAACAGAGTCTGTTTGGGTAGAGTTCGTGGAGGGTCAAGAAAAACTAATTCTAGGTGTAATATACCGACCTCCAGGCTTGGATCACGATAGAGGGAGACTTCTTTGGGACGAAATTGTTAGGGCTTCTGGACACAGTAACGTAGTCATAGTAGGGGACTTTAACTTTAGCCAAATTGACTGGAATTCTTTGACAGGTAATCTAGAGTCCAGTGACTTCATGGAAACAGTTCAGGACTGTTTTCTGAAACAGAGTGTAACTGAACCTACCAGGGTAATAATTTGCTAGACCTAGTCTTGTCAAATAAGGAAACACTAGTGAATAATCTGGAGATCACTGAAGAGCTTGGCGCAAGTGATCACAAATCCATCACCTTTAGCATTAATTGGGAATGCAAGAATAATGATAATACAGTAAAAATCCCCGATTTTCGTTCTGCCGATTATAATGGACTTAGGGAACATCTGTCTAATCTTGATTGGGGTTATCTAGCTAATGATTTTATTGACGATAATCATACTTATGAATATGAAGGGATCTGCTTTTATGATTGTTTTCTTAATAATGTACACAGTGCCCAGAGTATATACATTCCCCAGAGAGAAATTAGGTCTAATAATAACGATCCCAAATGGGTTAACAGGAGGTTAAAGCATCTATTAGGGGAGAAAAGGGGAATTTATAGGCGCATTAGAAGAGGAGAGGTTAACCTTACTGACCAATATGTTCAGCTTAAAAGAGAAGTAAAAAAGGCGATTAGAAAGGCTAAACGTGACTATGAAATTAAGAGTCGCTAATGAATCAAAGACTAATCCAAAGGGGTTCTTTCAAGTGTATAGGACGAAGGTGAAGGAAAAAGTAGGACCTCTGAAATCTGGGAATGGACAGCTGACGGATAATGAACTGGAAATGTGTTTCCTTATTTAATGACTATTTTTTTTCAGTTTTTACACAGGAAGATGTAAATGAGATTCCAATAATTAACAATTATTTAGTTCCTGATGAATTTAAGTTAACTAATATTACTGTCACGAGGGACATGGTTATTAAACAGATAGACAAACTGAAACAAAATAAGTCCCCGGACCCGATGAGTTGTTTTCAAGGTACTTAAGGAATGCAAGATGGAGCTTAGTCAGCCATTAACGAGTGTATTCAATGCGTCCATCCTTACCAGTGTTGTGCCAGAGATGTGGAAGATGGCTAATGTGGTTCCTATATTCAAATCAGGGGATAAGTCCACTCCTTCAAATTACCGTCCAATAAGCCTGACATCTATAGTGGGCAAGTTATTAGAATCAATTATAGCTGACATTATCAGAAGTCACCTTGAAGAGCATAACTTGATAAATGAATCTCAGCATGGATTCACGAGAGGTCGTTCCTGCCTGACAAACTTACTGACGTTCTTCAATAGAACATTGAGCAGTTGACAGTGATAAGGAATATGACATTGTTTATTTGGATTTTAGTAAAGCCTTCGACAGAGTACCTCACAAGAGACTCTTAAGAAAAGTGGCAGCTCATGGTATAGGAGGTAAAGTTCTAGCATGGATTGAGGCATGGCTTACCAATAGAAAGCAGAGAGTTACCATTAATGGAGTGAAATCTGATTGGGGATTAGTCACTAGTGGCGTTCCACAAGGATCAGTTTTAGGCCCTCTCTTGTTCATAATTTACATTAATGACCTTGATGAAGGAATTACTAGTGACATGAGTAAGTTTGCTGATGATACAAAGATAGGCCGCATAATTCACTCTGAAAAGGATATCAATGAACTCCAGGACGATTTGAACAAATTAATGTCTTGGTCCGAAAAATGGCAGATGAAGTTTAATGTGGATAAGTGTAAGGTACTTGCCCTTGGTAATGAAAATAACCCTCGAAGCTATAATCTAGGTGAAGTAGAGCTTGGTCATACAGAATGTGAAAAAGACTTGGGAGTCATGGTAAGCAGAAATCTAAAGCCAAGACAGCAGTGCCTTAGTGTGCGCAACAAGGCCAACAGACTACTTGGATTTGTCTCAAGAAGTATAAGTAACAGAAGTCCAAAAGTTATTTTACAGCTCTATACATCACTAGTGAGGCCTCATTTAGATTATGCTGCTCAGTTTTGGTCCCCTTACTACAGGATGGACATAGACTCATTAGAGAACATACAGAGAAGAATGACTAAAATGATTTACTGTGTAAGGAACCTCCCGTATGAAGATAGACTTAAAGCCTTAAATCTCCACTCTCTGGAGAGGCGTAGAATGAGGGGAGATATCATTGAAGTGTATAAGTGGATGACGGGCATAAACAAGGGAGACATTAATCAAGTACTGAGGGTGTCGAACCAGGTAAGAACCAGGAATAATGGATTTAAGTTGGATAAATTTAGATTTAGAAAGGACATAGGTAAGTACTGGTTTTCTAACAGAGTTGTAGATGCGTGGAACAGTCTTCCCAGTGGGGTGATAGAGGCTAGGACCTTGGGTAGCTTTAAGAAGAGACTGGACAAATATATGAGTGGGAGGGGCTGGGTTTGATTGGTGTTGGGGGGTGCGGGAGTTGTTTCTTGAGTAGCTATAGGTAGATGTCGTTTTGATAAGGACCTGCCTCGTATGGGCCAGTTGGCCTTCTGCAGTGTTCCTACATTCTTATGTTCTTAAGTGGAAGATAGGTATTAATAAAGGGGATATTAACAAGGTCTTGAGGATATCTCTCCAAGAGAGAACCCGCAGTAATGGATTTAAATTAGATAAGTTTAGATTTAGAAAGGACATAGGAAAGTATTGGTTTGGAAATAGGGTAGTTGATGAGTGGAACAGTCTACCTAGTTGGGTTATTGAGGCTAGGACTTTGGGTAGTTTCAAATTTAGGTTGGATAAGTACATGAGTGGGAGGGGTTGGATTTGAGTGGGACTTGCACATCAGAGCTTATTTCTTGGGTAGCATTGAAAATTGGGTTGGTCAAATGTTTGTTAGTGGGATGAATTGTAAAGGACCTGCCTAGTATGGGCCAACAGGCCTGCTGCAGTGTTCCTCCTTTCTTATGTTCTTATGTTCTTATGTTCTTATGTTTAAATTTAATGGCTCACCCCTAGTCGTGCCTCTCACAATACACTGAGCAAATCATCATACACTTGTGATGCTCTTCACACATCACAAAGTGCGAACCATCCATCTGTATTTGCATGTAACTTGTAATGACTGCATGAGGAAATTTCAGTTTTCATATTGGAAGATGAATTACTGGCAGAAACAATAAGTACAGGAGGATAAGTAATGAATGAACACATACATATTTTAAGATTTGTTTGTCATTGTATTTTACTGTCATGAGTCGCATTAATTAAGGCAAGGAAGAATATTTTAACAAACTTCTAGCTACTGGCAGAGTTCCAGATTCTTGGGGGCCTTTTATACTGTACTGTATGTACTATATTTAGAATCTTTTTCCATGACTCTAGTTCTGTTTTAGAGATGTACGTGAATGATGTGAAGCAGAAGGTGTGTGATGGAGGCGCAGTCCCTTCCATTACCAAGGAAAGTGTATCCACCGCGCTAGTGCATGGTAACAATGGCCTTGGGCCTGTTGTTGGCAACTTCTGCATTGATCTCGCTATTAAAAAAGCTAAAGAAACGGGCATTGGCTGGGTCTGCACTCGAGGTGAGTATCTTGCTTAAGTTTAGCTGAAAGTTTATCAGAAGCTGTTAACAGACTTGCATTAACTATTTGGTGCAGTAATGTGACTTAATGAATTTTGTAATGTAGAGGCATTCTTGACAAGAAAAAAAAAGAAAGTGACATATTGTAGTTCCTGCACTGCATAAAATTAATTTATAATTATAACTAAGCTTTTACATTATTAGGAGGCAGGTTACTGAAAGCAGTGAAGAGTTTTTAAGAGCATAGTGAGACTCGGATTACAGTACGTAGGAGAGAGGGAGGTTATTTCTCAACAAAAATAGGCCTTAGAAGTGTTGGTATTGGCAAGAAGTGTGGAATTAGAAGATAAAGAATCTAACACAAAGTGGGAGTTGTCACAGTTGCTCTTTGCTGATGACACTGTGCTTTTGGGAGATTCTGAAGAGAAGTTACTGAGGTCGATGGACGAATTTGGTTGGATATGTGAAAGAAGGCTGTACGACGCTTGTAGGTTTAGCGCTTCTTTTTATTGTAATGTAAAAGAATGATAAAAGTGAACAAAGGAAAGAGTAAGGTGATGAGGGTAACAAAAAATTTAGGCACTGAAAGACCAGATATCAGGTTGGAGGGAGTATGGAGGAAGTGTATGTATTCAGATATAAATCTGTAATGGAAGGAAGGCGGGGGAGTAGGGGGGTCGGCCTAGGAATGGTTGGAGGGAGGGTTTAAAGAAGGTTTTGTGTGCGGGGGGCTTTAACTTCCAACCATCATGCGTGAGTGTGTTAGGAGCGAGTGGAGACAAATGGTCTTTGACTTGACGTGCTATTGGAGGGTGAGCAAAGTAACATTTATGAAGGGATTCGGGGTAACCGACAAGCCGGTTAGAGAAGTACAGTACTTGCGCTTTGAAGGAGGGGGTGTTGATATATTGCAGTCTCTCTAACTGTAGTACAGGCACGCCTCTGTCAAGACAGTGATGGAGTGAATGATGATTCTTTTTTTTCGGGTCACCCTGCCTTGGTGGGAAGCGGCTGATGTGTTAATAAAAAAAATCACGATTAAAAGGGTTCTCCAACCTAAAAAACAATTCTAACTGGTTCTTAAGAGCCCATACAGGGCTCTTAAGAACCACCCAAGATACATCCTGAACGAACAGTTTCTAATAGTCTTGTTTTAAATAAATTTAATCTACAAACATTGTACAAGCTTACGAACCTTATTTTCTGGTATTTTCAGGAAGTAATCATTATGGCATTGCTGGCTGGTATGCTCTGAGAGCCACCAGGGAAGGTCTTCTGGTGAGAATTATTCATGTTCACTGTCGAGTACATATATTCTCAGAGTACAAATTTTTATGCTAGGATAGTTGTCAGTTAAGAGACGACTTGGTTAATGTATAAAACTCTTGGATAGTACTGTGGTATAGTAACACTACTGTGGTATAGTAACACTACTGTGGTGTAGTAACACTACTGTGGTATAGTAACACTACTGTGGTGTAGTAACACTACTGTGGTGTAGTAACACTACTGTGGTGTAGTAACACTACTGTGGTGTAGTAACACTACTGTGGTGTAGTAAACACTACTGTGGTGTAGTAACACTACTGTGGTGTAGTAACACTACTGTGGTGTAGTAACACTACTGTGGTGTAGTAACACTACTGTGGTGTAGTAACACTACTGTGGTGTAGTAACACTACTGTAGTATAGTAACACCTGCATCATACATAAATTGTTCAAATTTTATACTGTTGTGTTTCAGGGTATGAGTTTTACCAACACTTCGCCCCTTGTTGCCCCAACACGTGCCAAGAAGGTAAGTGGCCACTCTAAACTGATTTACATTGCTATATTTGTTTTCGATTTAAGTGTCTTGCGCCTAATCCAAATAAAATGGACACCGTTGGGACCAGGGGTAGAAAGAGGCAAGAAATAGTCGGGAAGAATGTATTCACAGGTTCATAACGTGTACTTCAATTCACATAAAAAGAGCCTTGTTGGTCGTACCGGGAGGTGGTTTATGGTAGGAATGAACACGAACGCATACGCTAAATTTAGATTTTTTTTTTTAAACATTTCTACCAAGGGACCCAAATACCTTCAAATACATTGTATCTGGAGTGATAACAGTTCCAGGACTGCAACGTTTTCAATGAAGATGTGTTAATTGCAGGCAGTCGTGTCTATTTCCAGCTAGTTGTCGACATTTATTGCCACCTTAAAACAAATGGGACGATTAATTCATTTTTGTTCTAGTTGCTTCAACTAGGTGTTCTCTATATATATAACTAATTGGTGTATGTGTGTAAGCTCGTATATATTTTTTTTTTTTTGGTAAACGGTAAAAAAAATGTGAAATTGGCTACGGTTTTTCAGTACAAATCCCTGTTTTACGCATTCTAATAGGTTCATTGTACGCGAATTCACTTTATGCGCCATGGGTCAGAAACTATCGCATAAAGTGATGAAGTTCTGTACGGTAATTAACGACAAAAGATACGAAGATAGATGCTTATAGTAGGATAAGCCTTTATCTGGGAAGAACTTCTAAAATCATGACTTGACAAAGCTCTCATTAATGACAAAACGTGTTTCCAATAAATATTTGTTCTGCTACACGTATCTTTGTCTTCAGAAACATGTCTCTCCGAATCACATACATGAACACGAGAGAAACTTGCACGTTTCTCTGGCTAACCTCGAAACACATTGCAGATACCTTTCGGCCTAGCTAGAGCAGCTCTGAAGAGGGCCTCTAGCTACTTCATATACACGGTGCCCCGTGGCCTGGTGGCAAAAGCTGTCGCTTCAAACGCTGAGAGTCCAGGTTCAATTCCTGATAAGGGTAGAAACACTGGACGTGTTTCCTGATGCCGGTTGACCCTTTTCACCCATCAGTAAAATAGGTACCTGGGTGTTAGTCGACTGGTGTGGGTCGCATCCTGGGGACAACACTGACCTAATATACCCGAAATGCTCAGCATAACAAGCGGTTTTTCTATATAGTAGCATGTCACTGATGTCAGCTAGGACTGTATACCTTGTACATGTACAAGGTATACATGCTGTGGTAGTGTTGAGAAGTACAACTCTTCGGGTGACACGTAGCCTTAATAAGGTTACTAAATATAACCCCTTCTTACCCGATGAACTTTCTTATATAATTCAGGTAACAAAAAAAATGTGTGTAAATTTCTTGTGTATTTTTAATCAGGGTTTTTACCTTTGTATTTGCAGGCAGCTTTGGGAACTAATCCATTGGCCTTATCAGCACCAGCAAAGAATGGAGACAGTTTTGTGCTCGACATGGCAACCTGCGTCGTGGCTGTGGGTAAAGTAAGCAACCACGAGATAGTTTTTGACTTCAGTACAGTTTAAACTTCATTATTTTGATGTACAGTAGGATGTTAGTGCAGTTTTATTTAGTGTTTTGCTGAATATTTGATAATGTAAATTTCATAGGCATTTCATTGACAAGATAATGAATGAAATATCGTAAGTTATTTAAAAACACCGGTGATGTTTGTTCCCCGGGATACGAGTCACTCAGTATGACCCTCTCAATGATTCATCAACCTCTGGCTTACCTATGTGCTGAAATATAAAAAACAAAATGTAAATATGTATTTTTTTCTGAATCTGGAACGTATTTGCAACTATAATACATTACTTTTATTAATTATTTTATTACTGCCTTTATAATCTGCACTCTACCTGTCTGCGCACCATCCAAACTATAAACCAACTCGTGTGGCCTTGTGGTTCAGTAGTATAATGCTCATCTCATAGTCGGAAGGATCCATATTCAGTCCCCCAGGCGAGAAAAGACTTACGATCAATTCTCCGTATATCTGTCGGCCCTTTTTTTACATAACAGTAAATAAATAATTAGGAGTTAGCTATTGTCGGTTTTATTCTGGGGAAGAGGATCTACAAGGACTCCCCTGACAGTCACACTGCGTGACTGTCTTGGGTAATTACTAGGTTATTAACCCCGGAAGATCGGGAGCTAATGTGGAAGAATCATGATCATAGCATTAAGATTAGAAACCCGATTTACCCGTTATCGGGAGGCCTGGTCATGGTCCGGGTCGCGGGGGCGTTGACCCCCGGCATACCCTCCAGGTAGCCAGGCAGACCCCCTGTTTCCTTAAGTTAATAGTTTAAAGCAAGTCTTCTTCACAAAGGCAAAATACATTTTTCCAAATCACTTTCTTTATATTTGTTGATCAACAGTAAAACTGGAAAAAAAAACGGAAATAATTAATGCATTTATGGCATTGTTCAAGCTTTGCAGACTTGCATATTAAACTGATTTTAAAAATGTTTATTAGATGGAACTTGGAATACTGAAACTTCTAATGTACTGGACATAAAAAGGTAATGTGAATTCACTTATACAGTAATCAAGAGCATTTTTTTTTAAATTAATACAACTTGTGGACTAGTTCCATACACATATAGTTAGCACTAATTGTATTTTTTTTATCCAAAGTCATCTCAACTAATTTGAAATATGTAGACCTTTAAGTTTATTTGAAAAGCCCAATAGCCTCGGCGATGCATATACAGTTTCTCTTAAAATTGTTGAACTTTCAAATTTTGGTAAAAGCAATTTTTTTTTGGTAACTTATGAGTTTGCAAAATAATTTGAGTCTTACTCTCTAAAGATGGAGGTTGAGCGCCGGAAGGAGAAGCCTATTCCAGAAGGCTGGGCTTTGGACAAGGATGGTAATCCTACTACTGATCCTGAAGAAGGTATAAAAGGTGCACTCATGCCCCTTGGAGGACCAGAGCTCCACTCTGGTTATAAAGGTTATGGTCTTGGCATGTTAGTGGAAATCTTCTGTGGTATTTTATCAGGTAAGTATTATTTGCAGCGTGTCTTGGACTGATAAAAGGTACACAACAACCCCCAGTCATTGGTGAAAACAACCATAGGCAACTAGAAAGCAGATTCATTAACTTTTAGTGCCAGTACGTGCCAGTACACCGTAATACATTAAACTTAAAATATATCTGTAAAACACCTAAACAATCCTGGCAACATCACACCTCATCTAAGTCCCATTCTTACCTGAAACTATTCCACTCCTGCACTTAATGCCTTGCATAAACAAGGGCTTCTCCATGCAGACAACGCTGGCTATGAGTGTAGAATGATTTTCTACACTCCATAGCCCGCGCATCACTCATAAAAACTCGTTATATCTTAAAATAACTTGCCATCCGTTGCGTACATTTGCAACACTTTACTGTATCATTCCACTAATCATTTCACTGCCTTCCTGTAGCAATAGATTTTTATGGTGCGCATTGAAACTATTTCTTAAGGTTGTACAACATTTTTATCATCACTTTGTCAAAGTATCCGATCTCTAAATAAAAAAAAAAAGCCTCGATACCGTGACTGTAACAATACACAAATAACCCGCATATAGAAGAGATGAGTTTACGACAACGTTTCGGTCCAACTTGGACCAGTTACAAAGTGACTTTGTAAATGGTCCAAAACGGACCGAAACGTTGTCGTAAACTCATCTCTTCTATGTGCAGGTTGTGTATCCAGTCTGTCTTCCCATCTCTTTGCACTTATGAAGCTTCCTTTTTAGTTAACTCGCTACATCCTCTTTTATTTGCCGTCATCCTTCTCCTTGTATTCTATCTTTCATTTACTTAACTTATTACTAAGCAGTTTGATCTATATTATGCACCACATACCCGTCCCGTGGGCGGGAGTCAAAAGATTACAGAGGCACATCATGGGTCCAGGAACTGGGCCGCAAAGTTTTAATAGATGAAAAAGTTAGTGGTAATGAATTGCTTACATGTTTAAATCTGGTTGCAATCATAAGAAGTTACGTAGACAAAAAAAATAACGAGTTATTTACAGTGGGCAAAGATAGGGTATTTTTCCATAATAGTTGGTAATATACCACTGTGGATAAATTACTATGACATTTCTTGAATATTTCAGAGGGAGTTGTCAATGAATTTATTCTGTCGCATTCCAGTACATTATGACGCAAGGTGTGACAGTTGTCCATCTGGCAAATTTTACATTTCGTTTGGTCTACATCTTGTACACAGTAACTACTTTCCTAGGTGGGAAACGGCCGACGTGTTAAAAAAAATTCTGGCAAGAAGGCCATTAAATGAATGATGGTGAATGAGTTTCCCTCGAGTTATTCTACGTTGGCAGGAGACGGCTGCTGATGCTAAAATTGATACTTTTTCGTGTAACATTATTAAACTTTGTTTTTTGCTTTGAATAATTTTCAATGCTGCAGGTGGTCAGTATGGTCCAAATGTTCGAAGATGGATGAATACAGATAGAGAGGCAGACCTGGGGCAATGTTTTGTGGCTATTGATCCTGCTTTCTTTGCACCGGGATTTGAAGACCGCATGAGTGACTTAATGAATTACTGTCGTGGCATGGAACCAGTAAGTTGATCTCGAATATAGACGTATCGAATAAACTATCTAGAGAATTTTTAACCATTATATACTATTGATTATATTTTGATGGGTATACCTTCAGAAAAAATATTTAGACTTAATCGTGTATGAAATTCAGCTTGGGAAACAGTTTCATTCTTAATTAATGATAATGGGTAATTAGCTTTAATAGTTAAAATTCACACCAGGTTCCAGAACCAGCTAAACATGCACAGTGCTGTGCAATGTTTGTATGTGTTTGGAAAACTGCTTTTGTATGACTGTTTTTAATGCTCATGCATTTTAAACTTTAGAAATTTTTCGTAGATCTCCATTAAACTGGGAGAATTTCTGAGTGGTATGATCTTCTGCATCGAGCAGGCACATGTGAGCGAGATAAGTTAGAGTGGGGGACTGTTTTTAATATTTGATGTGCTGTTGGAGTGTGAACAAGGTAACATGAAAGGATTTAGTTAATTGGACCCGTCTTGGAGGTAGAAAGTACAGTGCAATGAGAGTGATGGGTGGAGAAAGTATAATTTAGAGGCTGCATTTGACGTGACGTCAGGGCGTTTGTGGAAAGATAGCTATTGAATGAATGATGGTGAATGTCTTTCCTTTAGGTCACTGTACCAGGGTGGAAGATGGCAGATGTAAAAAAAAAAAAGGTGACAAAATCTTTACGAAAAGGTTGAAATATCTTTGGAAAGAAAAATATGGACGTTTTAATTGATTTATATTAGTTTGTAGAGGATATATTACTTAGGAGGAAGTATAACTAGTGTTCATGAATTATACATGTGACATACCAATAGATGTAAGAGTTAAATACTATAACATAAAAAATACAGGTAATTGCATAGGGAAGAACAAATATAAAGAAACATAAGAATGGAGGAATGCTGCAGAAGGCCTACTGGCCCATATATAGCAGGTCCTTATCAAAACCACTACTACCCAAAGCTACTCAAGAATTTACTGCGTTAACTACGACACAAATCAAATCCAGCCCCTCATACTCATATATTTGTCCAATCTCACATGTGTAAACTTATGTTTGGAATAAATGGAGACTTGCATTCTCCATGTATTGCCAGACTCTGGTGTTAGATGCCTCTTAAGATATTCCCAGTTGTAAAATGACGAGTATACTCTTGATTGTCTTGTCTTTTCCATTAAAGATCGTCAATGACTCTTATCCCACTTGAATGCCACCTAAAGATGTTTAAATTATTTCAGGCTGATGCAGAAAAGCCAGTCTTGGCTGCTGGTGATCCTGAACGTTCACACATCAACAAGGTGAACAGAGAGGGCGGCATCACGTATCACATAAACCAGATCACTGACTCGGTAAGTGAGATGATTATGTCCCAAATACACCTTTTTCGCCCTATCATTTTTTTTTCCATTCCTTGCATTTTCTACCATAACCCTACATTTCTTTCACACTAGGAACACTTTTTCCCTTGCCCCTCCCTTCCTTTCTCTATATCAGCTCTTGTGCCAGTGTTTTCTGCTATCTTCTCTGTAAATCGTTTTATTCTTTATTTATCCTGGCCCGAACTTTTGTCATGTTATTCTTTTGTGTTTCAACACAATTGTTCTCAAAGATTTGCTAAGTTATGCCATAAATTAAGGAAAGATCCTGGACTTCACCTTACGAAACAGACAAAGCAAAGGCGATAGTAATTATGGACAAGGTAGATTATAGTGGAAAAATGAACATGTTGTTAAAAGACGGGGGAACTAATGTGCCTCTTAACCTTTCTCTCTCAATATTAAGTCTTTCCGTAACTCCATTGTGATGTGCATGACCATAACAGAAGTCTAGGGTAATTCAGTCAAAATATGCTCTTCTAGCCTGTTCTGTTTTCTGTTTCCCTCGAGGATTCTCTATACCAGTATATTCATACCTTTATCTCTTAACGTATTACCTGAAGACACCAATGGAAATAAGTCACTTTGTCTAACTTTTTTGGGTTATCACAGGTTCTCTACACATTTGCTGCCATGTATGATAATCTATGTAACTGTATTTGTGTATACCTGAATGAACTTGCTACTTACCAATCACGGATTGTTTAATGAAATGCTGAGCATGTGGGTTATTCAGCGCAATGTGTCGTGGAGGCTTGATCCTCCATTTGCTAAAAGTGACCTAATCTCGGATCAAGCAGGCTGTTGTATAACCTAATTAACATTTGTCTTAACTCACTCTACTACTCCCACCTCGAAAATTCACCTCTACACCACACACTCTCCTATTATTTATTCCTCCCAGTTACTAATACAATATATATAACTGAAACTGTTTATTTCAAAAGTCTGAATATATATTTTTCCAGCTCCGTATCCATGTTCCAACTTTATAAATGAAGGTCAGCAAGAACAGAGTCATAGAATCCTTTCCATTCACAAACTCACAAACTGGTGACGGTCTATTATGAACCATCATTAAGTCACTAGTCAGGAGACAGCTAATGTCAGGTGAAGAGGTTGAGAGACCAGTTCAGAAGTGATAAGGAGACACCGAAGGTCAGGTGAAGAGGTTGAGAGACCAGTTCAGAAGTGATAAGGAGACACCAGAGGTCAGGTGAAGAGGTTGAGAGACCAGTTCAGAAGTGATAAGAGACACCGAAGGTCAGGTGAGAGGTTTGAGAGACCAGTTCAGAAGTGATAAGGAGACACCAGAGGTCAGGTGAAGAGGTTGAGAGACCAGTTCAGAAGTGATAAGGAGACACCAGAGGTCAGGTGAAGAGGTTGAGAGACCAGTTCAGAAGTGATAAGGAGACACCGAAGGTCAGGTGAAGAGGTTGAGAGACCAGTTCAGAAGTGATAAGGAGACACCAGAGGTCAGGTGAAGAGGTTGAGAGACCAGTTCAGAAGTGATAAGGAGACACCAGAGGTCAGGTGAAGAGGTTGAGAGACCAGTTCAGAAGTGATAAGGAGACACCAGAGGTCAGGTGAAGAGGTTGAGAGACCAGTTCAGAAGTGATAAGGAGACAACCAAAGTCAGTGAAGAGGTTGAGAGACCAGTTCAGAAGTGATAAGGAGACACCAAAGGTCAGGTGAAGAGGTTGAGAGACCAGTTCAGAAGTGATAAGGAGACACCAAAGGTCAGGTGAAGCGGTTGAGAGACCAGTTCAGAAGTGATAAGGAGACACCAGAGGTCAGGTGAAGAGGTTGAGAGACCAGTTCAGAAGTGATAAGGAGACACCAAAGGTCAGGTGAAGAGTTGAGAGACCAGTCAGAAGTGATAAGGGACACCAAAGGTCAGGTGAAGAGGTTGAGAGACCAGTTCAGAGTGATAAGGAGACACCAGAGGTCAGGTGAAGAGGTTGAGAGACCAGTTCAGAAGTGATAAGGAGACACCATAGGTCAGGTGAAGCGGTTGAGAGACCAGTTTCAGAAGTGATAAGGAACACCGAAGTCAGGTGAGAGGTTGAGAGACCAGTTCAGAAGTGATAAGGAGACACCAAAGGTCAGGTGAAGAGGTTGAGAGACCAGTTCAGAAGTGATAAGGAGACACCAGAGGTCAGGTGAAGAGGTTGAGAGACCAGTTCAGAAGTGATAAGGAACACCAAGGTCAGGTTAAGAGGTTGAGAGACTCAGTTCAGAAGTGATAAGGAGACACCGAAGGTCAGGTGAAGAGGTTGAGAGACCAGTTCAGAAGTGATAAGGAGACACCAAAGGTCAGGTGAAAGAGGTTGAGAGACAGTTTCAGAAGTGATAAGGAGACACCAGAGGTCAAGTGAAGAGGTTGAGAGACCAGTTCAGAAGTGATAAGTAGACACCGAAGGTCAGGTGAAGAGGTTGAGAGACCAGTTCAGAAGTGATAAGGAGACACCAAAGGAAAATTAGAAGAGTGAACAATGTACAGAGACAGGCAAGCGTTAACAGAAAAAGGTTGAACACGATAACGCCTGTGAAAGCTATAAGATGGATAGATCGTCTAATAGAACCAAATTATAGGATGGCAGTATTAGACATCATAACTATCTAATAATTAAATGACAGAGTTAGAACACCACAAACTAGCTCAGCCATAACTGCAAATAGATAAATTCTTAGTGAAAGTTTATTTGATGTTTTTAATTTAAAACTTTATGGACAAATTACACGATTAAAATATTTCTGCTAGTGTATTAAAAATACATTCCTGAACTATTTCAAATTTATCTACGAGCGCCATATCTTTGTCTAATTCTCTCTTGTAGACAGCCTGTACTGTCTGCACAGACAGCCCGTGCTGTCTGCCAGCTTAGTTCATATTTCGCGTCATGCTGGTGCTGCCACCTATAGGCCTTGCCACTTCAGTATGCCCAGACTTGCCTCACTCTCACTCACACAGCGGCCTAGCAGCAAGACACAAGTACTCCCAGCTCTCTCTCGTGGGCATGGCCCTCCCGGGGCATGGGCACAACACAAGCCTGTGTACCCACTACGACACTACTTAAACGAAGAAGCCTCCGAAGACGTATCATTCATCCCCCCGCTACCAAAAAACTCATTATACTCTGAAGACCTTGAATTCCTTTGTGTTAGCAATATATATACTTATTTCAGTTATATAAAACTTCCGGTTCTAATGCAAGTATTAGTAGACAGTATTTACACTCAAAGTTCATCTTTGTCATGTCTTTATTTCAGTGGAGACTTGCTAAAGTTCTGGGTGTGCAGCCGATGCAGTGACTGACACTTCCAGTGACATGAGATTAGTGAGACACCTTCTAGAACTGCAGTGTTCATTCTGAGTTTGCACTTTAAACAGCTTTAGCAGCAATAATTTTTTGTAGCTTGCACTTTGAAATTAAGACACATGTGCAACATCTGGGTATCTTTATTGTAGACGTTTCGCCATCCAGTGGCTTTATCAATACAAATTTCAGGACATAACTTGAAGATAGTAGATAGTGGATGGCGAAACGTCTACAATAAAGATACCCAGATGTTGCACATGTCTTAATTTCATCTTGTCGGTATTGTATACCATTCTTGTACAGCTTGCACATTTTTTTTTGGGGGGGGATGGGGGGTGTAAATGAAACATGGTATACACTTCGGCATTGACATTTTTAAAATTGATTTTCTCTGGTTATGTATCTGAGGGAAAGAAAGGAATGGGGAGGTTTGAGCTCAGAGAAAGTGGCTGTTAGAAACAAGTCTTGTGTTGTATCGAAACTGATTCCCTGTTTTCATGAACTTAATCTTTTGTTCAGCATCTTGGAGTCGTATTGAATTTTAAATTTAACATAATGTATCATATTTTAATGACTTTTAACACAAATGGTTTTTAAAAGGCATCATTCCAGTTGCTGATAGTTAATGTATAAGGTAGTAAATCATTGCCAAACATTAATTAGAGATAACATTAATATGCTTAATAATTGCAAGTTAGTGTGATGATTATCTCGTGGAAATTCCGTATCTATTTAGTCAAAGTACCTCAGTAAATTTTATTTGACCCAGTACGTTAGGGTAGAAAAGTATAATCACATCCCATCACAGTTCCTGGTCATCTTTATCCTCACAACCATACCACGGGCTAGATGAACCCGCGGTCAGAGATCTCAAGCTCCAGACCGCGCGGTTATCCTCACAATATTTCCACCGCCTTAATCCACGCACTGCTGGCTCCACACTCTTTTATTCGTCTTTTATTAGGTTATGTAGCTGAACGTGCATAATATCAAGAATTTAGAATAAGAATTTCAATTTTTTTTTACACAGGTTCACCTCGTCTCTTTTGTTGTCCTAAATTTTTTGCTATTTTTGTTAAAAATCTTATATTCGAATAACTTTTTTTTAGCTATTATGACACTAAAATTATAAAATAGTATTTGTTTTTATAACCTCGTTCAGTTGTTTGGAGCTCAGATTAAAGGTTTCCATTAACGAATAACAGTAGTATAAGATTTAGTGACTGATTGTTGTATAAACAGAAGCGTGAATGATAATATGGGATCGACACCATGGCCAGCCCTTCTAGGGTATGGTAGGTGCCTGAGCCAGAGCTTGCAGCTCACAGGACTGTCATTCCCATTAGCCTCCTCGGGGCGGGAATGGCAGACCAGAGGGGCCTAACTTCTCCCTACGATCCCCGTGAGGGCGGGGAATGGGGCTAGGCCTGGGGACAGTTGGTCACAAAGATTAGGGGGTACTTGGCCCCTCCATGGGAGATTTAGACAGGGAGCCAAGACCGGGCCACCACTTGGAAAGGGGCCGGCCGGAGAATACCGGCAATCTAAAATAAAATAAAAAAAAAAAATATGGGAAAAGCTACCATGTAATCTTGGATAAGTAATTAAAACTATCTGTGCACCAAAATTGTTGGAAAAAATATATTTTTATAATAAACAGTGTTTTAAAATAGTTTTTTACATAGTTTTAAAAGTTAGCTTTCCTTACCGCCACACATCTCGTATATTATCAGTTTATCTGTGGGGTGCTTGTTTGTAGTTACAACAACAAAGTTAAACTCAGTTTCTCCTGTTCAGTGTTAACCCTCGTCTTGAAATTTTTTTTTTTAAAGTTTCTAGTGGTTGTAGCATGCAGTGCTGTACGACTTGTACGGGTTTAGCGTTTGGTTCTGATTATAATGTAGCATTCACTAAATCCTTCTGTATACACAGGGTGGGTCAGCAATGTTGCATTGACTAAATCCTTGTGTGGGTGGGTCAGAAATGTTGCATTCTCGAAATTCCTTGTGTATACACAGGGTGGGTCAACTGAGTAGTAGATTACTTGTCCGTGAAATTGTTAATAAACCAACCATGTATGTTTATAACTTGCTACCTCAGTGTTTTAAGAGTCGTGAGGTGTGCCTTTGTATGGTACTAGTGGTGGTGATTTCATAGTCGGGTAACTAGAAATGTGTGTTCAGACGCGGATTAGATAACCCATCAACTGATCAGGGAAATGCTGGCGTCTGTGTAAGTATTGGTGATTAAAGCAAGTGTATAAACTTCTTGCTTACCAAACTGGTAAGCTGCTTTTCCAGAGCATATTTGGGTTTCCAGTGGTGTACTGTAAATGAATAAAAAATTATTGTGTAAGCACCGAGAGCAGCAAAATGGATATACAAATTTAGAACAGACATGGAAAGACACGGGAGTGTGGGGTGTGGTGGTAAAGGTATGGTCAAATTTCAACATATTCAGTATATGAAAGTTGTGTGTACTCACCTAGTTGTGGTTCCAGGGGTCGATTCATAGCTCCTGGCCCCGGCGTGTGTGTTACCATTTTGTCCTAGGCACAAGTCGTTTAGACACTAAGCCTGTTGTATGTGTGAGGGGGAGGGAGGTCTAATCAGGTGCCATGATTGCAGAACATAATTGTAGTTACTGTATAATCATTGACTTGGGTTCTGAAATAGTGATAAAATGAAATTGTCCAACAGTTTGAAACACACAGTAAAGTTTGCTTAAACGATACAAAGTTTTTATACGAAGTCCATTGAGAGAGTTAGTGGTCATGAGGTAAATAAATCGTAATGACATAATTAATTTTATTAGAAATATTTTGCACAAGCCAATACATGCCTAGTGAAAGCTTCTAAATTTATTTTTATTTATGAGCCAATACTGACATTTTATATCCAAAATTTTGATGAAAATACAAGTTTTCGGTTTTATAGTTGGTAATTAGGCACTTCTAGTTCCTTCTAATTTATTTATACTTTATTTTTTTTAGTTTTTTATATGTGAAACTGTTTTTTGAAACAAGTTGTACAGAACAAAAAATAAAATTAAACGTAACAAAATTATTGCAAATAATAACACAAAATACGTAACTGAAACAAAAAATATATAAGCCTAACTTAGAGGCTCCAACAAAACCAAAATAAAACTAACAAAGGAACTTTTGTACAAAAGTACAAACACGGGAACTAAAACATAATATAAATTTTTAACCTAAAATTTACAATATTATGGAACTTGATTTTGAAAAGTTAAACCAAGTTTGTTTTAACACTGATGGAAAAGTTTGTAAAAAATGGAGGAAGAAGGTAAGGTATTCTATGATTAAATATCGAAACTATAATCGTGTAATTAGGGGTCAAAGTCTAAATCTTTATATAAATTAAACTATGGCTACAGAAATGCGATCCCTTGTGGGTTTAGCATTTGGTTGTTTTAATAATACAGATATGCAATGCGTAGGAAATTATTTCTTTCAAGTTGGTGTCTTTGTGCAAGTGAAGGGCTCTTGATCCAAAGAACTGGAACTATTTTCCCTTTGGATCGAATGTGATTGCCTCCCATTTACCCCCACCAGGTGATTTATGACCCTTACGAGTTTACTGCTCCATCGTGAATGTAAGAAATTGAGACTGAAATACTGTGGAACACTTGGTGGCAGGTCAGGTTAAGTTAGGAAACAGGACAAGTGTTTCCTGATGCGGGTCTTAGTCATATGATGACCCGTAGCTGGAGCTTTTGATCATCTGACCGAGGCCTTCCACTGGCTTACCCCTCTACTCCTTTAAAAATGAAGGTTTTAATTACAACCACATTAATTTGTACATTGGTGGCAGTCAACTCTGCCTCCAGCTCTGTATGATCCTGGTGGGTTTAGCGCTTAATTCTGATTATAATACTTGACTCTGCCAAGTGATATTAGTCAAGTTCAGAGTCTGGGTGAACATGGGTCAATTAAAGTTTGTAGTTCACCTGAACACGGACATCAACAACACTTTAATCCCTATTGTATCTTTTACTAATCTCTCAGAGGTATATACACTGAGAGATATACTTCTGTGTATACCCGTGATTATATTCCTGATTTAGACTTTAAGGCACTCACATACAGAAGATAATCTAGACATGTATTCATAGTCACTACATAATGAAATAATACGTAAACATACATGCAACATACATAATACAACCCTGGTAATTAATACATTTTGAAGGCTGACCCTAAAAGCATCAAAATCTTATAAGACTCCTCCATATAATTTACTTTTTTGTGGTAAATATGACTGGTAAAAGTGTAACCAAAATTGAACAGTGCGTGGAAAGGCTTTCTTAATGCGCGTTATTCAATCTTGATTCACTATTGCAATCATCTTCTCACAAAAAAATCACACTATATATAAGCTTTATAAGAACTTACTATATATAAAAGCACCATTCTGTCAACATCTTAAGGAAGTTTAATAACTATTAAATCCACCCAAAAAAACATGCAACATCACAGCTTGCAAATTGTGATGTATGGAATGCTAGAAAACTATAAATTATAGTTAAATTACTTAGGAAAATTCTTTAATATAAGCAGAAATTCCTAAACAGTTTGTGTAGTTTACTTAAGCTAATGGAAGACAGGATTTAGAAAATATCGCTGCTTTCTGTGGTATTACGGAGTCGGATTTTGATTAGTAAAGCTTTAAGAGCAGAGCAAAGGCCTTCAGAGTGGCCTAGTGTAATATATATCAGAGCCACCTTAAAACAAGGAGCTTATAGAATCAAACCATATCACGGGTGGGGTTAGAACCCGCGATCACAGTCACAAAACTCCAGACCGACGCGTTAGCCATTGGACCAGCGTTCGTCTAGTTTCGCGATTCTCTGATCGCGGGTTCTAACCCCACCCGGGGTATGGCTTGTTTGCAATCGTGTCAATACGATTTCATGAGTTACGTAGTCAACTTATAGAACTAGTTTCGCATGTGAAACAGTACCATCATTTCCATCATATTTGTACAAGGCGTTGGCCAAACAGTTTTTACTAATAAACACAATTTTGTCATTGTCCTACCTTATACAATGGATATCTTGTTGCCAAAAATTTAAGTCGAGAATTTTAATATAAAACCAAAAGCGTGATGAATATTTACAACAAATCTTTCATTTCTTTTGTATGCAAAACATTGTCATTGGTACACAAATAACCCGCACATAAAAGACAGAAGCTTACGACGACGTTTCGGTCCGACTTGGACCATTGACAAAGTCACACTAACAGAGGTGGAGCAGGACGGCTATATATAGGCAGGAAGAGGTGGAGGTAGTAGTAGTAGTAGTATTAGTTGTCAATGGTCCAAGTCGGACCGAAACGTCGTCGTAAGCTTCTGTCTTTTATGTGCGGGTTATTTGTGTATCGTTCCAGTCACGGTATTGTGCCTTTTTGTTATTTATTGTCATTGGTTAAGGCATTTGCTATTAACATGAGATTCTTATGCAATAAATAATCCTTCACTCGACACTGTTGTCACTTCAACTTGAGAGAATATTTTGATTAGCTATATAATGTTTATCAATGTGTATAGATGTTTCCAAACAAGTAAATTCATTCTTAATTCAAACTTTTAAGTCCACAGGAAACTTAAAATTGTTATTAATGATTATATAATCACATCAAGTTTCTTGATAATGTGAGAAATCTCGTAAGTGTTGCAAAATTCACTACTTTTTCACAATGGTAGTTCTGCATATATTAAAATATACAGCAGGATAAATGTTGCAATAAACAACTCAAGTGACAGATTTGACAGATAAATAAGGCATTTTTAACTATGAATTGAGAACAAATGAATGTAATATTCCACAGAAAACTAACAAGACCACGTACAACAAATTATTATATTACTACTAAAACAATGGCATAAAGAACAAAAGATATATTATAGAAGCAGTTGAAAATATAAGACTGATAACTCCAGGTGTGTCTACCAGTCCTGAAATAACACGTGCAGTTCCTAGAGCAAAAAAATAGCATGCCTTTAAATCTAAAGACGGCGCTGTATGACCCTTGTAGGTTTAGCGTTTTTTATTATAATAATTTAAATGTAAAGAAATTAAAGCACATTAGTGAAAGTTAATGCATAAAGTACACGAAGCAAATAATAGAGTATTACCTATAATATAATCTATTGTAAAAATTGTATACAGAAAGTTGGTATTTTGCTGTGATAACCCTTGTTGTGTAATATTATATTATAATAATAGAGTATTACCTATAATATAATCTATTGTAAAAATTGTATACAGAAAGTTGTATTTTGCTGTGATAAACCTTGTTGTGTAATATTATAATAGCCAAAACTGATTAAAAAGCTTGAATAAGACTTCTAAATTGGGAAGGTATATACAGGTAGACACGTCCTACACTTCTGTTTACCTTTTCATAGTTATTTTGTTACGATGCTAGCTGTGGATTGTATATCCTCGGGTTTAGCGCTTCCCTCTTGATTATAATAATAATAATAATTTGTTACGAAGCTAATACAGCAAATCAAGTTAGTATTTTTAATAGTAAACTGAAAACCGATTTAATGATGATAGGACAAAAGGTGTAATAAAAATCGCAATTGTTCAATAGTCGCAACCAGCAAAATAGGTAACTAATTATCCCCTCAAGGGAGGTTCCTTGATGCTGGCGAGGGGGCTCTTGATCTAGGGAATTGGATCTGTGCTCCAGTTCCTTAAGCTGTATAGCCCTTGTGGCTTAGCGCTTCTTTTTGATTATAATAATAATAATCCTTAAATTAAGCCTGAGTACCTTCCATCCCCTCCCCCCACAGGCGCTGTATTATCCTACGGATTTAGCGCTTCTCCATAATAATAAACTATACAAAAGGGTAGTTAAGCATAGACTACAAAATAGGTACGTCGATATAGGCAGATGAAATAATATCCACGTATTTGTAGATCTCCTCGGTAAACTCAACAGATAAAATACATGAATGATGCAAGAGTCTGGAGTCAAGTCATCACGAAGGTGAATCAAGATGGTGGCTGTCGGGATAATATGTTTGAATGTCTTTTACAGATTTATATACGGTGATACAACGACGTCCTGTTGACAATAATGATGAAAAGACGATACAAAGCGAGGGGACGTTTCCCCTCTTTGTAAAGCTTTATCGGGTCATAAGAGCGAAACGTGCTACTGAAGCTTTTTCTGAATGTCTTTCATTCGTGAATTAAGGAGAAAAGCACACTTAAAAACTACAACATAAGCAATATGCAATAACTTAAGCAATAGGAGCACCATTGACACTGCGAAGGCACAGCGGCCGCCAGTATGCAAAATAAAATGATCATAAAATAATAGCATTAAGCAAACGTATTTAATTTGCCAAAATGACCAAGCAGGTATCGAAGCAAACAAACCATAAACACCTACAGATATGCATGCAATTTTGATAATTATTCATTTTAACTAGGACCTATAACAGTTTATTAAACACATTGATTAAAACCTTTATATGTGACTCGGCCCAGTACTGTACCAGTACTGTACCAGTACTGTACCAGTACTGTACCAGTACTGTCCCACACTACTCAAGGCAACACAAAGACCAAAGTATCGTAAAATTTCGTAATAATTTGTTACAAATTATTATACCAATGTGTGTAAATGTTTAAACTTTGATTCATATTAACGTCAACGATATTAAATTAAAGTATTAAAATCATATTAAACTATTATATATATATATATATATATTTATATATTAATATATATTATATGATACATAAACAGAAATAATTTAATAATAATTATGCTATTAGCAATGATCATTCCATATAGTACGATTAATGAATTGATTGAAGTACAATTGTTCTCTCATAAGAAAGTGAAAATTTGTGTATACCATATTTCGCAATATTGAACTAATCGAAATTAAGCTATTTATTGTGTTGATACAAATTATTGAACATATGTAAACTGAGTAGTGTGGTACGTCTTAAATAACCGTTCTTTCTGATATAGGTTGGTAAGTATTCTGATTTTTAGTGAAAAAATGTTTAAATTTTTTATTAAATTATTAAAATATATACGTTAAACGTAAAGCCACAAGGAAATTTCAAAAGGAAAACTAAGTGTCTTGATTTGAGAGTTTTACATATTCCAAATCATTATAAAGACATTTATTCAGAGTAGATAGATTAAGCGATGAAATCGAGAGTTAATATCAGATGCCAGTTATACTAAACCTTCAATCGGGAAAAATTTATCTAAAGTAGATTGCTTGCATACCATTTTCTCCATCATACTGATTAATAAGAATGAGGACATTGTCTACAGAATGACTTTAACATGACTAGCCCCAGTGTTGGCATAAAATTTTGTATTAGCATCTTTTATGTCTAAAGAATGATTGATAAGACTGCGAATCACTTGGATAGGTGAACGTCAAATTGAAACTTGGCTTATCACTTATATAGGAAATTTACGATGTGTTAGTCGAAAAAATATTTTACATTTTTCTTTGTTAGATTTTTTTTTTTAGGCTAATGTAACGTAACGTAACGTAAAGCCAGCCAAGGAAGAACGTCAGAAAACAACGCTGTCTTAATTTGGAGAAGGTTGCTCTTTCAACTGTCTTCAAATCATTTATAAAGACGAGGTTTCTCGAGGAGGATAGATTGAAGGCGAGTGAAACGTCGAGAGTAAGTGGACAGAGACGAGTATACACAGTAAACCTTCATCTGGGAAAAGTTTCCCCTCTAAGTAGGGGATTGTTGCATACACTTGTGTGTGTCCACATACCTGTCAGTGTTACAACCTTCACACCAAGACAAGCAGAGCCAAGCTGCCATGGGGCTTCACTGTCCTCCCCTGGCACACCTCTCTTATGTACTACTAATCTAGATTAATAAGACACATGCGCAACACTTGATTATGTACTGTGGCGACAATTCGACAACCAATGGCTATATCAATTTAATATAGAGAATAATTACCGGATATTGTAGAATATATGAAGTAGTCTGAGGCGATTACTCCATCGGCTTTGAAAGGTGTTCATTCCAACATTTTAAGGCTGGTGCACTTAACACCTTTCAAGGCTGAGGGACTGATTACCTCAAACTAATTCGTCTTCCACCATGTTCAACAGATTCATCAAAACTGAGGGACTGACCACCTCAGACTACCTCACATCTTCCACCGTCATTCTCTGTATTGGAATGATGAAGTGTTGCACATGTGTCTCATTCATTTATTTGTCGATTTTGTAAACCATTAATATATACAGGTAATACCACCAGTCTGTTGGCTGCCACTTCAGCTACAGTGGACTACTGCTACAACTACAGTGACATTATACGCACTTCTGAAAGGTGTTCAGACGGGAAGACATCGTGGAGGATGAATGTATAGATCACGAAAAGCGACGCTTAGGCCTCGCTGAAGGTATATAAACAGTACCTTGCAAACATGGTCGACATGCTAGCTTGAGCTGGGTTAGCCGGATGGCATCCCCACAGGTGTACTTCTGCATCGTGATGGTACACAACTGCACCACAATAGTATGCAACTGTACTCCTGTAATATGATGTTGCACAACTATACCCCTGCACCAAGATGGTATACAACTGTACCCTGCACCACGATGCTACACAGAAGTATCCCTGCACCACGATGGTACACAGTTATACTCTTGGAACACGATGCCATACAGCAGCACCAGGATGACACATCTGTACGCAAACATCATGATAGCACAGCGGTAACCCTGCACCACAATGACACAGCTGTATCCCTGCACCACAATGACACACAGCTGTACCCCTATACCACAATGACACACAGCTGCACCCCTGCACCACAATGACACACAGCGGTACCTCTGTACCACAATGATACACAGCTGTACCCCTGTACCATAATGACACACAGCTATACCTCTGTACCACAATGACACACAGCTGTACCCTTGTACCACAATGACACACAGCTGTACCCTGCACCACAATGACACACAGCAGTACCCCTGCACCACAATGACACACATCAGTACCCCTGCACCACAATGACACACAGCTGTACTCCTGCACCACAATGACACACAGCGATACCTCTGTACCACAATGACACACAGCTGTACTCCTGCACCACAATGACACACAGCGATACCTCTGTACCACAATGACACACAGCTGTACTCCTGCACCACAATGACACACAGCGATACCTCTGTACCACAATGACACACAGCTGTACCCCTGCACCACAATGACACACAACTGTACTCCTGCACCACAATGACACACAGCGATACCTCTGCACCACAATGACACACAGCTGTACTCCTGCACCACAATGACACACAACGATACCTCTGTACCACAATGACACAGCTGTACTCCTGCACCACAATGACACACAGCTGTACCCCCAAACGACGATGGTACACACTTGTACCCTCTGCACCATGATAAAACTTAAGTGCTCTGATCGCGGGTTCTAACCCCACCCGTGGTATTTTTTTTATGGAACTTAAGTATTAAAGAAGAGACTTAATCTATTTAACTCAATATTTAGACAAAATGTGAGGCAAAAAAAATAATAGAAATGAGTGAACGTTTTCATATACTTAGACACGTGTGTAAACTAGCCACCGAAGTGGCTAGTTTATTGTGCCTCCCACATCCATCCTGTGGAGGGTAGCGCTAGAACATATGGATACACAAAAGGCCTAGGAACTAGGCCCCAAAAGGGTTAACAGGTGTACATTTAGATTTATATCTATAGTTCACTTATCTGTTACAAGCAAATTTAGGAAATTTAGGAAATTTGCTTAGTATGTCTGGTATCTTATTTTCATTAATAAGTTATCTTGACATGCCACATATGTTATTATACTATATATTCCTCAATAAGTGGACAATTAAGCACATAGTGTTCAAGACAGTGACCATATGCCTGACCACATAATCTGCATTTGGTTTGATCATCATCTGTGTGTCTGACACGTGTGTAAACATACGAAAACACCGAGACATTCCTGAAAAAAAAATTTCACTGATATTGATTCATATTTGCAGTCAGGTGTTTAGTTATTCCATCCATGGGGCTGTAGGTCATCACGATGACACAGGTCTTAAGAAATCAGATAATAAAAAAACACAAGGCTATGCAACACTACAATTAATAATTCGTCCAGTAACTTAGTACACAAACCTAGATAAATGCTCTTTGGGCCCATTGTTTACACACTTGATACTAGAGTAAACACCTAAAGCAAAATGTCTCTAATTTAATACATGGTAAGCTTAATGTTGGCGTATTAAACGAGTATTAAAATTTACTGTGTTACTATATAAATAAAAAAATTATCTTAAAAAATTGCTGAATAGATTTCTTTTTAGTTAAGCAAAACCAATGTTTCTAATTTGTCCAAATTTACACACCAGTGAAAGCAAAAGTTAAAAATGTTAGTTCTTTGATATTAACATCTAGAATCCTGAAGGGAAATGTTAGATCAAATATCTATAAAACATAAAGTAAACTTTTGTGAAAAAATACTCATTTACAATGATGATTTGCCATATATAAAAGAAAGGAATTATAATACGTTCACATCTTAGTAAAAGAGTTATAGGTAGTTTAACCATTGTTGGTTTAGCGATTAGTTTTGATAATAATAGTGGTAGTTTAAATCAAATGTTACTAATATAAGGAAAATGTAGTCAAGATTTTTTTCAGATTAAAAAATTGAATTAAACTTAATCATAAAAAGGCAGCAAGACACTGGCTGGAATGATTCCTTAGTGAAGAGTCGCTCAGTACCGCATGAGTTCAACTGCAGTATTTTCTAGCAAGTTTAATAGGATTAGAACCTGTCGACTGCTAGTTTGATAGGATTAGAACCTAGCGACTGCTAGTTTGGCAGGCTTAGAACCTAACGACTGCTAGTTTGACAGGATTAGAAGCTGTCGACTGCTAGTTTGATAGGATTATAACATAGAAAATACTAGTTTGATATGATTAGAAACTAGTTACTGCATGTAGGTTATTTCGTAAGAAGCTAAGTATTTACTTCCATAGTTTTCGTGTACTATCTTAAGATGCTGGGTGGTAACGTTATTACCTATGTGTATGGTTTGTTTGTAGAAGAAAGAATTATTGTTTCTTCAGTTTTTCTTCACGTTTGATCCTCTACGAACTTACTGCCACTTTACCATGTGATCTCTGACGTGAGTGTCAGCTGTCTCGTGACGTCATTCATCAGCTGTGGCGTGACGTCATTCATCAGCTGGGGCGTGACGTCATTCATCAGGTGTGGTGTGGCATTATTCATCAGGTATCTCGTGACGTCGTTCATCAGGTGTCTCGTGAAGTCATTCATCAGGTGTCTTGTGACGTCATTCATCAGGTGTCTCGTGACGTCATTCATCAGGTACCTCGTGACGTCAGGTGACGCAGCTCTTTAACAAAAGAATAAGCATTTATGAGTTAATATTTACTATATTATTAATAATTATTATTCTACATTATCATTTACATCTGGACGGCTAATATATTAGTATTACCCATGAAAGCCAGTCATTATGGCTTACTTCTCTTGGGTAATTTGGTTCTCCTCCCCAAGACGTGATCAAGGTGAAAAAGGTCAACAACTGAAAGAAAACATGTCTAACTTCTTCCCTCTCTCCAGGATCAAACCCGGGTCCTTGGGTTGTGACTCTAAAAGTCCTTCTAGAACATACTCGTTCATTTCTACATAACAGCTTAACCTATATATATATATATATATAATTATATATATATATATATATATATATATATATATATATATATATATATATATATATATATATATATAATTCCTATAATATTAAATTTTATATATTATATATTTTATATAATATATATATATATATATATATAATATATATATATATATATATATATATATATATATAATATATATATATATAATATAAATATATACTGTTCAATTAATTAATGGGCCTTGATCTGAGCCAAGAGAGTTACGACACCTTCCTCGGATCAAGCCTAAATGTACCCCCGATTATATATTACTATTCATAATCGGGGGTACATTTAGGCTTGATCCGAGGAAGGGTGTCGTAACTCTCTTGGCTCAGATCAAGAGCCCATTAATTAATTGAACAGTAATAGGTTAGGTTAGGTAAGGTTTGTCAGGAAACAGGGCAAGTGTTTCCTGACGCAGGTTTAGATGACCCGCCGTTGGAGCTTTTGGTCAACTGACCGAGGCCTTCCGCTGGCTTACCGGTCCATCCCTTTAAAAATTATGGTCAGTGACCATAATAATAGTGTGTAATGGTGACCTGGAGGTCCCTGGGACGGATGGTGGGGGGGGATTACTTAATGGGATTTAAAGCCTATCAACTACACGAGGGTCAGTCAGGCTACGCATAACGTTTCACCACCAGGCAAGAATACTTTCATCCTTGAAATAAGGATTAAATTCTTATTATGTATATACTCTGAGAGAAATGGAGCTCTGGGTGTATATATTGTGTGGAAGTGTAGGAGGGAGGTGGCCAGGCAGTGACGTCAGTGTTGCAGCAGACACCGAGGGGGAGAGTCACGCTGCTCGCTCTCTCTTCACTAACTTTAGTGCCACGGTAAAAAAAAAAAAAAAAACTTTACAATAACGAGAATTTTTTACCAATCACTAATTAATCGTGTGCAATGAAGTTATTTATATTCACCATTATGAGTGCTCCGACATTTGCCAAATAGAGAAAATCGGTGATATAGTAAATACAATTTTTTGATTCACAAAATTTTTGTAAATATTCCACAGTTTGAGACACAAGTCATTATATTAATTTACAAGTGTGAGAAACCCCAAAATAACAATGAAACACAACGAAATATCACAAAATATCGTCTCTTAGAATATGTAGAGAATATTATTACACTATTATCCACTAAATGCCTGGTAATATCACCTCGTGCTCTTGTGGGTTTAGCGCGTAGTTTTGATTGTAATAATATTACCTCGTTATAATAATGTTAATGATAGTACCACGGTAGCGCTTTTGGTTTTAGAATTAGTTAGTGTAGATTATTAAATACGTCTTCTTTATTTCCTGTGAGTGAGCTTGTTATTATCTGAATGTTGTATGAATGTGACTTGAGTGTATGAGTTGCTGTATCAGTGGATCTATGAGTGTTAGAGGGGTTATAAGAGGATGGATGAGTCAGTATATGAAGGGGTTGTATGAGTGGATGCATTAGTTGTGAAAGGGGTTGTGTGGGTGGATGTTTGAGGGGTTGTATGAGTTGATGTTTGAGGGGTTGTATGACGATGTTTGAGGGTTTTTATGAGTGAATTTGAGGGGTTGCATGAGTTGATGTTTGAGGGGTTGTATGAGTTGATGTCTGAGGGGTTGTATGAGTGGATGTTTGAGGGGTTTTATGAATGAATTTGAGGGGTTGCATGAGTTGACGTTTGAGGGGTTGTATGAGTTGATGTTTGAAGGGTTGTATGACTGGATGTTTGAGGGTTTTTATGAGTGAATTTGAGGGGTTGTATGAGTTGATGTTTGAGGGATTGTATGAGTTGATGTTTGAGGGGTTGTATGAGTTGATGTTTGAAGGGTTGTATGACTGGATGTTTGAGGGTTTTTATGAGTGAATTTGAGGGGTTGTATGAGTTGATGTTTGAGGGATTGTATGAGTTGATGTTTGAGGGGTTGTATGAGTTGGTGTTTGAAGGGTTGTATGACTGGATGTTTGAGGGGGTTTTATGAGTGAATTTGAGGGGTTGTATGAGTGGATGTTTGAGGGGTTGTATGAGTTGGTGTTTGAGGGGTTGTATGACTGGATGTTTGAGGGGTTTTGAGTGAATTTAAGGGATTGTATGAGTGGATGTTTGAGAGATTTTATGAGTGGATGTATGATTGGATGTTTGAGGGTCTGTAAGTACTGACTGTAAATATAAGTCTGTAAGATTTATCTGTCATGTTAATAAGAAAAACGTCAGCAGTCATTTCAGAGTGCAAAATGTTTTAACTTTTCGGCATTTCATACTCGTATGACAAGACGGTAATACCTCTTTGGATGATCACTGCCAACTTACTGTATGAATGATTATGTGAAGGATTGTATGAATGCACGTATGAAGGTTGCATAATTCATTGTATGCATGATGTATGGAATTGTACGAGATTGTGCACGGTGGGTATAATATTTGGATTACGTGGATAGGTGTATGAATTATATTAGCGATTGTATGATTTGTATGTTTCTGAGTTGGTTTATGAAGTATATATATGTGTACAGAAGCTCGTGAGAGTGTATATATGTAACTTCTTGAGAGTATATCCTGGGTAAATAATTATTGGGTATATAATTGATTATATTGGTAGGATTATAAATAGATGTGTTTGTGGATGTATGATTAATGTATGGATATACGAGTAAATTTGTGAACAGTTGCATGAGCGAGCTTATAGGCAGTATTATAAGGATTTATATGAATGGGTATAAGGCATGTATGTATTTGGGTGTATGAAAATTTCACATTGGTGGGTGTATCAACATCTCATATTTATAGGCGAGTGAGCAGCTGTATAAGTATATAGATGATTGTATTAGTGGACAAATGAATATCATTATCCCTTTATGCTCGTAAAGGACTTCATCCAAGGAATTGAAGCTTCCCTCCCCTTCCTTGGATCTGATTACCTACCATTCCCAGGAACGTTTTGCTAGTAGAACTGCCTCCATGTCTGCCCAACCAGTCAACAGTGCCATAAACATTAGCATTAACGCCTTTGTTTTTAACACATGGGCAGTCTACCACCGAGGTAAGAGTGTCCCCAGAAAAAAGAGGAAACACATTCATCACTCAGTCACTGTATTAACCAATAAATAATCTAATCAGCCAATAAATAGCCTAATCAGCCATGTGCAGCAATTAAATCACATAGCTTATCCACTGTAATCTGTATAATAACCAATAAATTTCCTAACTACCGAATAGCCTACTAATAACAAGCCAGTTTCAATCCAATCAACAGCCGTTAAATTACCTAAGTAGCACATAGCCTAGCCGTACATTTGAACTAATGGCCTATACTAATAACATTCAAATTAAGCACTAAGCCCGAAAGGATAATAATTGCCTATAAGTCGTTTAGTAACAAAAAGTCAGTCCCCTAACCTTCACCTATCCTTTCTACCTAGTGCCTAGCCAATAAATATCTGTTAATGTTATATTTCATGGGAAAGCGCTAACCTCCTAGGAGTCAGACATCATCTGGGGGGGGGGGGGAATGGGAGGTAATCATGTTTGAAGGAAAGGAAGGGTCGCTTCAGTTCCTTATGTCAAGAGCCCTTTACATCAAGGCACCCGCCCGCTTGAAGGGCCTCCAGCCTACATATTCATGACTGGCACCAGAGGAGACCAAATTTGGTATGGAGAAACTGTGCCTTTAAACTGGTTTTGTTGGGTTTATTTTTAATGAATATTTTGTTCTGGTATTCTTTCATTTTATTATTACCAGTTTACTTATTACTTGTTATTAATTTACTCAAATTGAAATTAGCTTAATCTCAATTTAAATAAATAATTATGAAAATAATTGAGATTAGCAGTGGACTAGGAAAATAAAGGTAGAAAATCTTTACGAAGACATTTAGTAACCACACCGTGTTGGTATCAGGTGTCTGGTGTGACGACCTAGAACAAGTGGTTAGCACGAGAGGATCTAACGACTGAATTAACAAGTGAACAACTTGGAAGGAGGATCACACTCCACCGCAAGAGGATTCAACGCCCTAACAAAAACAGGTGAGGCGCCCCAGGGGAATTCGAAAGTGACTGGAAGTTTCTTTCTAAATCTTATGGGTTTCATTGTGGTATGTACGCTCTTGGCTCAAATGGCCTAGGTATAATGCGATACTTTCGCTTCATTCATAAATTCCTGAAATACTTTTTGAAGGGGTCAGCGCTCCCGCAGCCTTGTCCCGGACCAGGTCTTCGGTGGATCAAAGTCTGATCAACCAGGCTGCTGCTGCTGCATGCAGTTCGACGTACGAACCATAACCCGGCTGATAAGGAACTGTTCTGAAGAACTTGAAGACAGCCAGGGGTCTGTTAGTAATTCCCCATATGTATGAAGGGAGGCTGTTGAAAAGTCTTGGACCTCCTTGTACTTTTTGTATTATGTCTTAGTGTAATCCTGGCATCCATGTTTTTCATTGAGGTATTTTGCAAATTCGGAACTAGTTCTGTTAGAATTTCCCATGTGTAAATTATGATGTAGCCCTCTTGCCTGCATTCCAGAGTTTAGATCAAGAGACTTCAAACGTTCCCCAGTAATTTAAGTGCTTGACATAATTTATACGTGCGGAGAAGGTTCTCTGTACATTCTCTAGATCTGCAATTTTCGCCCGCCTGAAAATGGGCTGTAAGTGTTCAACAGTATTCCTTGTTTTGGTAGTTCTCGTTATCCATTCTATCATTGTTCTCGCGATTGGAGCTTTCTCAAATAAGTAATTATAATAATTATTCTAATTAAAGACTATTTTCTTATACTCATAATTATCGTTCATATAATTGTTGGTTTATTTAGTTTCTAATGTTAGCAACCCCTAGCTGCGTAATGGCCAATATCTAGATTCCAATTTTGATTTATTTTGCGATTTTTTTTAAGCGCTCGAAATATGACTTAAATTAGCTGTTATTTTCAATATGAATATTTTATTATAAAGTATTTTTTTTCCTAATGGTCACTGCATACATATATTTATTTTTTATATAATTTCAATTTCTCAGTGTACTTTAGGCTATCCTGAGAAATGGAAACTCCTACGTAAAACAGTTAACTCCAGCCCCTCTGAAACGAAAATTTTAAATACGACTTAGCTACTAAGCCTACCTGGAGGTTACCTGGAGGTTATTCCGGGGATCAACGCCCCCGCGGCCCGGTCCATGACCAGGCCTCCCGATGGATCAGGGCCTGATCAACTAGGCTGTTACTGCTGGCTGCAGGCAGTCCAACGTACGAGCCACAGCCCGGCTGATCCGGCACTGACTTTAGGTATCTGTCCAGCTCTCTCTCTTGAAGGCAGCCAGGGGCTTATTGACAATTCTCCTAATGCTTGATGGGAGGCTGTTGAACAGTTTTGGGCCCCGGACACTTATGGTGTTTTCCCTTAGTGTACCAATGGCGCCCCTACTTTTTATTTTGGGCATTTTGCATCGCCTGTCCAGTCTTTTACTTTCGTAGGGAGTGATTTCTGTGTGTAGATTTGGGACCATTCCTTCCAAGATTTTCCAAGTGTAGATTATGATATATCTCTCCCTCCTGCGTTCCAACGAGTACAAGTCAAGGGCTTCCAAGCGTTCCCAGTAGTTAAGGTGCTTGACAAAACTTATACGTGCAGTAAAGGATCTCTACACTCTCTAGATCTGCGATTTCACCTGCTTTGAATGGAGATGCTAATGTACAGCAGTATTCCAGCCTAGAGAGAACAAGTGATTTGAAAAGGATCATCATTGGCTTGGCATCTCTCGTTTTGAAAGTTCTCATTATCCATCCTATCATTTTCTTTGCACGTGCGATCGTGGCACTGTTGTGATCCTAGAGTAAAATGCTTGATATTCTCATTGCATTATTTAAATCTTCCAGCGTAGGCTGATAGATTTTTCTGCAAGAAACCCATCCTGTTTGATGGAATATGACAAAAAAAACAGCAGCGCGGATGTATCCATTTCCTGACAAGAAATTAACTAGTTGCATGAGGTGTGTGTGCGTGCATGCTTGTGTGTGCGTGCATGCTTGTGTGTGCGTGCATGCTTGTGTGTGCGTGCATGCTTGTGTGTGCGTGCGTGCTTGTGTGTGCGTGTTGGTGGCCTCCATGGTTGTACATGGGGGTGGGGTAACATTAGGAGGGCGTTCAAGAACAGTGAAGGTGAAGAGCGTGGGAAGTTGTGGGGTGACTTGTAACAAGTGAAAAATTATTTTCCCATTCTCATATGTTATTTTCTTGCATAATGTCCAAAATGACAAATATTATTTAAATTGCGAGAGCTTGTAAGAAATACCCTTGCATATAGGATAAATTTCTTTTATGAAATTTAGGTAAGGTTTGGTCGGCCATGTGCCAACACCTACCTAACCTAATTTAATTAAGCTAGCTTCGCAAATATTCCACACTTTGAAGACGAGGCTGTAAACGACGTTTTGGCGCATCCTGGATTATTAAGTCACCTGTAGATAATCCTCCAGAATGGGCCGAAACATCGAGTGAAGGTTGTCTATACATTGTACTTGCGGATTAATTGAGAATTGTTCAAGCCATAGTTTTGTGAGTTTTAAACTACTACTACCCGGATTGTTAGTCCTCTCTCAGCCTAAATATAAGTTGAAATATTGTATATGTATAAAAAAAATATTCATCAGATATGTAAGGTTACTATCTATGGGTTGTAGTAGCTGTACGTAACGTCTAACTTGATGAATATTATGGATCAATATACATTATGAGAAATGATGACAAGACTAATCTCGCCCCACTACCGCCTGCTGCCTCTTCCTTATCAGTGCCTTCTACCTCTACACCGTCCCGTTTTTCCCACCCAAAGGAAACATAAGTCAGTGTAGCTACGGCCAGGGGTTAGGACAGGTCACTAGGGGTGTCAAGTGTGGGACCATGGGTTAGGGCAGATCACCAGGGTTCAAGGTAGGTTACACGGGGTCAGGTATCAGTACCCACGAGTACCTCACGCAAGTGCTCCCCTTTTTTTTTTTTTGTCGTGTCATCTTTAAGTGGGTTGCTTTGATATCAAGCCGGTGAACTGCTCTTGATCAGCGAAATTGAACGTACCCTTCCCTTGTCTCAAGCCTGATTATCACCTGTTCTCCTGGCGCTGTACACCTACGGGTTGAACACTGCGTGAATATAACAGTACTAACAACATTTGCCGGTCCCCCGCACCACTGAGCAGGTCATCGGATGACAAAGAGCCGGGTCAGGGGATTTTCTCCTTGACGAATAAATCGACAACAGCAGAACGCCAGGGGCTCCCTCGTCTCTTGGACACTCGGGTTTAAATAGGGAATTCAGGTGAGTAAGAACAGCTTATAAGGCATTACTGGTATGCTGGATCCAGATCAATATATGAGCTTTTTACAGCGTTCACAGATTATCCATACGAACAACAGCTTACTCTTTCCATAGTGAGTCTAGACCAACAGTAACATAACTAACATTCTACTCTTCCAAAGTGGATCCAAACGAATCAGAACGGCCTACAGCTTCCACAGTGGATCCAGACGAACAAGCCTCCATTTCAACCTTTACACCAGTCAGGGACACTATCTTAAACTGGGGATTAAAGTAAACTCAGTGTATAAAGCAATATATGCACCTCTAGTGAAGAAAATAACCTCCGTACAACTTAAGGGTTGTGGGACAAACTTTACTATCCAATAACACTACGGCGCTGTATGACCCTTGTAGGTTCAGCGCTTTTTTATTATAATAACAACACTACGGGATCCAAAAGTTTTCCCACGGCGTGAGCAGTGGTCTCAGACAGTGCTAGTATGATACTGTATTGCTAGTGCAAGTTAGTTTATCACTGTATAACGTCTATGGGACGGTATAAATGCAGCAAGGTATGAAACCAAAGAGATGTGTCAACAACATTGGTGATTACCTGACAGCAAGTGAAAGTGAAAGGACAAATGACCCTCAGAGTGCAGTGTTATATAAACCAGCAAACAGTTATAATGAACACAGGGTTAGTCTGTATAACTTCATGGACAGTGAACACGGGGTTAGTATAACCATGGACGGTGAATACAGGGTTAGCAAGTATAGCTTCATCGACACTGGGGAAAGGGATGTGATCATGTTTGATCCAGGAGAAGAGTAGCTTCAGCTCCCTGAATCGAAAGCCTCTCGTCAATTTCAAGACAAGCTTCACTCCCCATTAAGATACGGCCTGATTCATTGGAAATCGATGTATAATGACGAAGATGGAATACAATGGTTTGCCTGTTAATAACTGCTTGTTAATGGGTCATAAGAGTCGTCGACCCTGCGGCCCGGTCATTCATTACCAGTTTAATAAGTTCATTACCCTATTTGGTAGGTTTAATGCCTAGTTAAATACTTAACTAATTAGGTATGTTTCTTATCGAGCCTCTGCAGTAGGTTGTGCTATTTCGATCTTTTTAATGGATTCAGTACATTTTGAGACCTATGCATTAAATTTAGCTCAAGTTTTGAACCTGTTCAGTGAGTTCAATGCACCTTGCAAACCTGTTCCTATTGTGATCGTCGTGGGATATACTTCCAGTTCAGGTCAGTTTATGTGGAGGTTCGACACAGTGTGTTTCAGCGTCCCTTGGTAACATAATGTTCATTGTCCTTGGAAGGTTCAGTACCCTTCCTCGATTACCTATAAGTGCGATTCACTTTTTTCTTTTTTTTATTCATTCAAGCCGGAAGTTGGCGCTCTATGAGTTGGCATTTGTGTGTGTGTGTGTGTGTGTGTGTGTGTGTGTGTGTGTGTGTGTGTGTGTGTGTGTGTGTGTGTGTGGGTGTTGTGTGCATGCGTGTGTGTGTGCGCGCGCTTTGGGTGTGTGTGGCGCGCGCCTTATATGGGGTTTTGCGGGGGTTGAGTCACAGCTGGCCTCGTGTGCTTTTTTTATGTCATGTCTCTCACCTAGATTTGCTGTTGCGTGATTGAACCCTTTGGTTTTTTGTTTTTAAAAATCGTTAATTCGCTAACCTCTTTGGTGTTTTAAATGGTAGCTCTGTTGTCAATAGTTATAC